TGAGTTATGCTCTGGACAAAAATTAATTTTGAAAAATAAAAAAAGGGCAATAACTAAACAATTATGCAGGGTAGAGTTATCATTCTTGTGCACTGCACTCTTCCTCAATGAGATCCATCCACCTATGAAGTTTCAAGTTGATACCTCAAATACTTTTTGAGATAAGCTCTGGACAAAATAGCATGAAAAAGGAAAAAGGGCAATAACTCAAAAATTGGTTAGGGAAGAGTTATCATTCTTGCGCACAACATTCCTCCTCAATAAGATCTATCCACCTATGACATTTCATGTTGATATCTCAAACACTTTTTGAGTTATGCTCCACTCAGGTGAAAAATTAAGTATGAAAAATAACAAAGGGCAATAACTCAAAAATTATGAAAGGTAGAGTTATCATTCTTGTGCACTACACACCTCCTGAGTGAGATCTATGCACCTATGAAGTTTCATGTTGATATCTCATAGGCTTTTGGAGTTATGCTCTGGACAAAAATCAATTTTGAAAAATAACAAAGGGCAATAACTCAAAAATTATGCAGGGTAGAGTTATCATTCTTGTGCACTGCACTCCTCCTCAATGAGGTCTATCCACCTATGAAGTTTCAAGTCGATAACTCAAATACTTTTAGAGATATGCTCCGGACAAAAATGTCGGAAGGACGGACGGAAGGACGGACGGAGACTATTTCTATATCCCCCGCCGCCTTTATGGCGGGCGGGGGATAATAATCTAGTTCATGTTTATACATGAACAGTGGCCCAAGTGACGCACTGAAGATTCTTTTAAAGACGTTTTCGGGAGTTTTCATAATAGACATATAGGCAAAATTAAAACTGTTTAATAGAATTTCTTAAAACAAGAAAGGTGACCCCAATTTTTTTTAGCTAAAAATGTTTCTGTTATCACATTCTAACAACATGCCAAGTTTAAAGAAATTCTATTGAACAGTTTTAATTTTGCCTATATGTCTATATGAAAATTACCGAAAACGTCTTTAATTTTCAACTGATAAAAAGAGGGCAGCAGTCTTCTTATCTATTGGGCAGTTGTTTTAAACATTTGTTTTATTTTATCCTAAACATTTTTAATTACCTTTTTTTGTCAAACACCATTACAATAGTCAATTTTTTTTAACATATTGCCAATTCAGGTCAACTTGACAACGAAAAAATGATTACAAAGTCACTTTAAATCTATTACAGAAATATCTAGTAAAAAGGAACAGATTGGTGGAACATGCGGCTGTAAGGTTATGTAACATTCAACCCGACGATAACGTACTAGAGGTGGGTTTCGGTCCAGGGGTTGGTCTAAATGAAGCTTTCAGAATGGTTAAAGGTAATGTCTAGTCTTCTTAACTTTCTTTCCCTTGGCTTGCTTTTTGTGTTTTCTGTTATCGTATTTAAGTCCTACAGACATAGTTCAGAAACAAGTGGAAACAATAAGGTCTGAAACTACAAAGCTTTCTACTGCTTAGGGGGGACATCACCCGCTCCTTCAAACAGGCCGCCAGCTGTATCCATCAATATGATAGGATTAATTTCCTTGACATGATTTAAAATAAGTGACTTGAATTATCGCTGTATTTAACAAATCATCCCCTTAGTGCAGTAACCTGTTAACTAATACTAATATACTTTAATAAACAACCATTAAAGGTAACCTCTCAGCCACAATGGGCAACATCAATATAAAAGGATTGACATCTCCGACGTGATTAATACTTCAGATCAAGTGACATTGACAATTCTGCCTTATACAATTAACATTATATAAACAAATATATGCCGCGTCACGACAAAACCAACATAGTGCGTTTGCAACCAGCATAGATCTAGACCAGCCTGCGCATCTGCGCAGTCTAATCAGGATCCATGCTGTTCGCTTACCAACCCTTTTACAAGTAGAGAAACTGATAGTGAACAGCATGGATCCTGATCAGTCTGCTCGGATTCGCAGGCTGGTCTGGATCTATGCTGGTCGCAAAAGCATTATGTTGGTTTTGTTGTGACGCGGCTCAATTATATGCCACATGCCTGACAGTGACTTGAAGTATGCATGTATGAAACAAATTATAACATGTCAAAACAAGTTAATTCAGGATAGCTTAGTCACATGAGGAATTTCAACCTTCTAAACATGGTTCATTATATTTTCAACAAACGTTATTCTGAACTTGGCAAATCTGGTTAATCCTAGGGTATAAAAGTAAAGTTGTTCTAACTTCATGGGGAACTACCATTCACAATATAGTGGTCAACATTTTGTGCTTATTATCTGAGGTACACATGGAAGATAAGGAAAGCTAATGTGTAAGCCTCATTAAGTAAATGCATCACCTACATACTTACCTACCCTATCCCACCCCTCTACCCTACCTTACTGCACCTACAACCCCACCCTCAAAGCTTAAACCAAACCTTTATACCTTACTTACCAAACCCACTCCATCCCACTCAACTACACCCATCCGCCACTATTAACTGACCTACCCACCAACTTACTTACTTAATAAATTTACCAAGTTATAACTGAAGAACTTTGTTTACAGATAAGATGGGGAAAATCTAAATTTGCAGAGTTCAAGAATATTTCTATTTGTTTCCACTTTATGTTGGGTTTAGACCACATTCACAAGATTGTTCTAGTCAAATGTTAGCAAGCATTTACTTTATATGCAGAATGATTGTACCTTTGACATATTCCCAGCTTAAGTATAAGAACTAAATTTTTTAACTCTTCAACGTTATCATTTCAATTGGCAGTACAGGATGAATGGCGATGTTTACCAGTAATTATCTATATGTTGTTCTGGTTTTTTGTATATTTACAGATGGTTCTGGTATAGTTCATGGCATTGATATCTCTAACAGGAGTTTTAACATGGCTAGTAGAAACCTTAAACAGGAAATCGCAACGGGGAAAGTAACACTCCATATGGCCTCGGTGACAGATATTCCATTTGATGCCAGTAAATTTGACAGTATATTTCATACGAACTGTTACTATTTCTGGCCAGACATGGATGCTGCAGCTAAAGAACTTTACAGAGTGATTAAACCAGACAAATTAATGGTTGCGTGCCTAAATCATTCTCGATTGAAAGATCTAGCAGAAAAGGGATTCATGCAATGTGGAAATATCGACCCAGACAGATACATGTCCGCCCTTGAGAAAAACGGTTTCTATGATGTTAATATGAAAAGTGTTTCATTTGAAAACAAAGACATTGATGCAATTGTTGCAAAAGCAAGAAAAGAAGTGACATAATCAATCCATGCAATAAATATAAAATAATAAGCCCTTACAAAAATAAACTGATTAAAAAATGTATAAATTTTATTTGTTTTTTTTTTTCCTCTTTGCAACCAGTGCAGACTCCTTCAGTCGGTTCATTATTATATTTTGTTTAATTTTTATATTATCTCTTTAGGCATGTATGAATCAGTTCCATGGAAATCCATGAGCCTGTTGTGAAATTTTATCTTTTGATGACATTTGAGCCGCGTCATGACAAAACCAACGTTGGTTTTGTCATAACGCGCCTCATTTTATTTCAAAAATGGGTCAAAGACAGAAAAGGCCGTGTTGCATTTGTATATCAAATATCATGAGTCTGTGATGTTACAAAAAATGTTTACCATTGACCATTAATGTCAAAAATTTAACTAAGTCGATAAACAGGAAGTAGATGAGCGACAGACCTGAAATCAAATCCCACTGTATGGGACCATGTGTCAATGCTGTATGCCAAATATCAAGAGGCTGTGAAAAGTACATGCTGAGAAAACTGTTACGAAAATTTCCTACCATTGACCATTAATGTTGAAATTTAACAAAGTTGGCAAACAGGAAGTGGATGAGCGACAGACCTGAAATCGAATCCCACAGTATGGGACCATGTGTTGATGCTGTATACCAAATATCAAAAGGCTGTGATAAGTAGTTGCTGAGAAAACTGTTACGAAAATTTCCTACCATTGACCATTAATGTTGAAAATTTAACTAAGTCGATAAACAGGAAGTGGATGAGCGACAGACCTGAAATCGAACTCCATTGTATGGGACCATGTGTCAATGCTGTATGCCAAATATCAAGGACCTGTGATAAGTAGTTGCTGAGAAAACTGTTACGAAAGTTTTTCCCGGCCCGCCCGCCGCCCGACATTCACCATACTATAACCCGGGTTTGCACCAGTGCAACCCGGCCAAAAATGATCAAAGCACCATGTGTAGTGAAGTAGATTTAACCCTAAACTGGTTGGCAGCAACAGGTCTTACCCATGTAACCAGTGCAGACCTAGAACAATTTTGACCCCAGGGCTTTTATTTGAACAAACTTTGTAGACACCCATTAGAAGATGTTTCATGCTAAATATCTTAGCTCTAGCTCTTTGGGTTCTTTAAAAGAAGATTTTTTAAGTTTTTACTATATACATATAGGGAAAATCAATGAACCCCTGGGGTGGGGCCAATTTTGACCCCAGGGCTTTTATTTGAACAAACTTGGTAGACACTCACTAGAAGATGTTTCATGCCAAATATCTAAGCTCTGGCTCTTTGGGTGTTTTAGAAGAAGATATTTAAAGTTTTTTCTTTTGGTTGCCATGGCAACCAGAGTTCTGCATGGAATGGAATTCTCTGAACAACTTTGTTAAGGCTCCACACAAGGAACATCCCTGTGAAGTTTCATTATGATCTGCCTTATGGTTTCAGAGGAGATGTCGTTTTAAAAGTGTGAACAGACAACAGACGAGGTACGAAGGACGACAGACGACGGACGAAGAGTGATCCTTATAGCTCACCCTGAGCATATGCTCAGGTGAGCTAAAAATATCTGTTAATGGGGAGATAATTCTGGAAATATTGATACTAGCATTAAAAACCTTGCCACATATGATGTGGTTGATGATGAGGAACATATATCTAAAGTTTTCAGTTGATCCCTTATCAAAGGTATGATAAAATGGCGAAGAAAAATATCAAAATCATCACTTACCTTGCATGCAACTCTCCCGACACCGTGAAGTACATTGACTGGATCCACCACTTCTCCCATTATTACTCTGGTTGCCGTGGCGATAAAATCATAGTCCAGTGCCTTGGATACAAATGGAAATGACCTTGACACTCTAACATTGCACTCAATGACCTTCAGCTGATTATCCTGTATAAAATAAATACACATATCAAAGTAATGGCCACATTACCAAAATGGTCACATACCAAAATATCTACATTTAATTTTTTCATACATTACAAACTCTGTAAAGCAACACTCTTTTGGTGAAAAATATTTGAGCCGTGTCACGACAAAACCAACATCCGCATAGTCCGATCAGGATCCATGCTGTTCACTATCAGTTTCTTTACTTGTTATAGGGTTTGTAAGCGAACAGTATGGATCCTGATCAGACTGCGCGGATGCGCAGGCTGGTCTGGATCCATGCTGGTCGCAAACCGATATGTTGGTTTTGTCATGACGCGGCTCATTTTGGTTGCTGGGGAGAGATGTTGCTCAACAGACGTAAAATCAATTTTTGAAGTTTCACTTTTGGAGAATCTGAAACTGATTAAAACTTTACTTAACCACCAAATAATCACCCAAACTGTAAAATCATCAGTATAAAATTTCATGTTTCACAATTTCTTTGTACTTGAAGAAATACTGCAACTGTGAATTAATACTTTTAAGAAATTAAGTATCAGATAGTATGCTTGATTACACTCGGTGCTTGATAGTAATACAAGAGCCAATATAATGTTGATTTTCTAAATTCAAAAAAGGGCCACATTTCTGTCAAAATCAATGTCAGAGTTATGGACCATGGGCAGTATGCTCTCAAATAAGTTTGTGAAGTTTGGTCCCATTTCTTCCAGTTTTGGAGATACTAACTTGCATGTAAAATCTTAACTGAAGTGTGATGCCTATGCCTGGGTGATTACAAAAGCTCTCCATATTCTCTGAATAGATAAGCTAAACAAGGGTGCCATAGTCACAAAATACGCCTGTTTACGAAAGCTTTAGATGGAGATGGGGGCATTATGGATAAGTGTTATCTAGCAAGCAAGTTTTTATTCTTGGCACTGTGTTGTTAAATGAATCTTAAAACAAATCAGTAGGGAAGATATGCACAGGATGTGTGACCTTGACCTTGGTCGCAGGGACCTGAATTTTATGCACGGCACTCAGCCTCACAATGATGAACATTTGTACCAAATTATATTGAAATCCCTCTATGCATGTAGAAGTTTTGCTCCAGACAAGCGTTTTTCTATGAGCTCTAACTGTGACCTTCACCTTTGACCTAGAGATTTGGTTCATGTGCAGGGCACTACGTCTCATGGTGGTGAACAATTCTATAAAGTAACATTAAAATTCCTCCATGCATGTAGAAAATATGCTCCGAACAACGTCTGGATGTTTAATCATCTCCAGTGACCTTGACCTTGCAAATATTAACCTAAATTAAATGTGTCACACCTGTAGTCATGATAGTTACCATTTGTGCTACAATCCATCAATAAATGATGACTAAACGGTCCCTATACACATCTTCAAATTTTTATCTGAACTTTGACCTCTATGTGTAACCTTGACTTTGGTCGCAGGGATCTGAATTTTGCGTGCGACACTTAGCCTCACAATGGTGAACATTTGTGCCAAGTTATATTGAAATCCCCCTATGAATGTAGAAGTTTTGCTCCGGACAAGCGTTTTTCAATGAGCTCTAAGTGTGACCTTGACCTTTGACCTGGAGACCTGGATCATGCATGGAGCAATACATATCATGGTGGTGAACATTTCCATAAAGTATTATAAAAATTCTTCAGGGTTGCCAGCACTTTGGTGAAATAAAATTCCCTGACTTTTCCCTGACTTTTCACTGACCAATTCATGTTTTTCACTGACCAAAATCGTCAAACACATAAACGGCCTCCTGACCTCCCCTATAGCCGTCCAATCCTCCGATTATATTTTTGCATGTAAACTTGTATTTATTTTCCAAAATATAAAACATTTACATCAAAGAATTGGTTCTAATATTCTTAACTATTTCTATTCAAACACAGTGTGACTGTTGGTCAGTGAAACATGTGAAACATATGACATGAAAATCAGAAGAATCATAATATAAGCATCTGTATTAGAAATCACATAAGTCACTCTTTCCTTCCTAGTTAATCAACACATAAAACACCAAGACTATAAGAGTAATACATGTACTTGTATGACAAAACTTAAAATTCAAACATCTCTAAACTATAAGAACAATAAACATTTAACACAGTTACTTGTATAAGGCATCATAATAAACTCCACTGATTGTGAAAACAAGAACATAGGGCTCATTTTGGCATATCATGAAATAATCACTATAAAATTAAAGACTTTGAATGAGTGAAGTAAGTTAGTGTGAAAAAAGTTAGTGTGAAAAACATAGCATTGCATAATTTAACCAGTTTCCATCATGTTTGCAAGACAAATCCTCTTGTACAATTTCTTAGTGTCAAAGCAAAAAGCAAAGCAGGTTATATGCCAATATGGTAGTTTGGTATACATGTATACTGACTAGATTTTGTTAGTAATTAAAAGCCCTTCTAGTGATCATGCACAGAAATAGCTGGACCAATACAGAATACAGTGTACTGAATTAGGCTGAATGATGTTCTAAGGTAAATAATGGGTATTATAATCACTAAGTTAACATATAATGCTTCTTAATATCACAGTTTACTGTTATTTGAATTTAATGCTTAACTGTGAGAGTGATAAAGTCAAATATTAAATGCCTAAAGACTGCCATAGCCAAGAAAGACCTTCAATGCGTATATTTTTCGACCTTTGAAATAATTTTTCCCTGACTTTTCACTGACTTTTCAGGATTTTCATTTTTCACTGACCAAATTTCAAAATTCCCTGACAATTCCCTGACCTTGAAAAAATACCCAATTTCCCTGACTTTTCAAGTCCGCTGGCAACCCTGATTCTTCCATACATGTAGGAGATATGCTCCAGACAAAATCTGGATATTTCACCATCTTTAGTGACCTTGACCTTGCATATATTGACCTAAAGTACATGTGTCACAGCCGTAGTCATGATAATGACCATTTGTGTTACAATCCCTCAATAAATGATGATTAAATCGTCCCTATACACATCTTCATATTTTTATCTAAACTTTGACCTCTATGTGTGACCTTGACCTTGGCTGCAGGGACCTGAATTTTGTGCGCGACACTCCGCCTCACAATGGTGAACATTTGTGCCAAGTTATATTGAAATCCCTCTATGCATGTGGAAGTTTTGCTCCGGACAAGCATTTTTCAATGAGCTCTAAGTGTGACCTTGACCTTTGACCTAGAGACCTGGTTCATGTGCGCGACACTGCTCCTCATAGTGGTAAACATTTCTATGAAGTTTCATTAAAATCCCTCCATACATGTAGGAGATATGCTCCGGACAAAATTGGACGCCGCCCGACCGACGGCCCGCCCGCCAGGGGCGTTCCCATAATACGTCCCGTTTTTCAAACGGGCATATAAAAAGAAATGAGCCACTTCACCACAAAACCAACATAATGCGTTTGTGACCAGCATGGATCCAGACCAGCCTGCACATCCCCACAGTCTGATCAGGATCCATGCTGTTCGCCATCAGTTTCTTTATTTGTTATAAGGTCTGTAAGCGAACAGCATGGATCCTGATCTGGATCCATGCTGGTCGCAAACGCATTAAGTTGGTTTTGTCGTGACGCGGCTCAAATCTAATACTTAAACAAGATTGCATTTGAGAAAAATGCTATGCCACCGCATTAATACAACACTAAATAGTAGTGTCGGAACAGATTTTCTTTGTTTCTATACAATTTTGAAGATTGTCATAATGCATAGATCCCTGACCTATCTAATTCTTATTATCAGATTAGTGGTTAAATCTGTTGTTAACTCAATAAAAGATCAGAGTAGGAATATATCAATGCACTTGAGTCTAGTGAATTTGGTGGTGAAGGTCATATTTCACACAGCCTAAATTTCATGACTACATCAAAGGACAACAAAGTAAGACACTTTGTCAAAGACACTTTTAAAAATCAAAGTTCACTTAACATCTTAATCTGTACACATGGTTCAAATTTCATAGCTGTACATCAAAGGACAAGAAAGTAGGTCACATCATCAAAATCTAGTTCACCTGATATCAAAGTTCAATTTTACAACTAAAGCTGTGCACATGGTCAAAATTTCATTGCTGTACATCAAAGGACAAGAAAGTAGGTCACTGTCCCCTTGGGCAAGGCAGAATTTTGGACCCAAGGTTTTAATTCAAAACAATCTTGATACAGGTCCACCAAACACATTTCAAGTCAAATATCTAAGCTGTAGCTTTCTCCTATTCAGAAAAGATTTGTTTTATTTTCTGTTTTTACTATGTGAACATAATGAGAATCACTGCCCCTGGGCAGGGCCAATTTTAACACTAGGGGCATAATTAAAACAACTTTAGTAGAGAACCCATAGAATAAAATTATAGAGCAAACATCAAAGCTCTATGCCTTGTACCTTCAGACAAAAATATTTCTTTTTTTTTACTATATGTACATAGTGAAAATCAATGACTCCTGGGGGTGGGGCCAATTTTGACCCCCGGGCTATAATGTGTAAAATCTTGCTAGAGGTTCACTACATAATGTTTCATGCCAAATATCTTAACTCTAGCCTTTGTAAATTTAAAGAAGATGGTTTTTTATGTTTTTTACTATATACATATAAGGCAAACCTATGGCCCATGGGGCGGGGCTAATTTTGACACAAGAGGCAAAATTTGAACAACTTTGGTAGAGTACCTATAGATGATATCATTTAACAAATATTCAAGCTCTAAGCCTTGTACTTTCAGACAGTAAGATTTATTTTTTTTTACTATATGTACCTGTATATATTGAAAATCAATGACCCCGGGGCAGGGGCAATTTTGACCCCAGAGCTGTAATTTGAACAATCTTGCTAGAAGTTCACTTCACAATGTTTCATGCAAAATATCTAACCTCTAGCATTTGCTAGAAGAAATTTTTTTACTATAAAGTTTTTACTATATACATATAAGGAAAACCAATGACCCCCGGGGCAGGGACATTTTTGACCCCAGGGCTATAATTTGAACAATCTGAGTAGAGGTCTATAAGACAATGCCTTATGCAAAATATCTAAGCTCTAGGCCTTTTGGGTCTTTACAAGAAGGTATTTTAAGTTTTTACTATATGAACATATTGTGAAAATCAATGACCCCCGGGGCCGGGCCGATTTTGACCCCAGGGCTATAATTTGAACAATCTTGGTAAGGGTCTATCAGACAATGCCTTATGCAAAATATCTAAGCTCTAGGCCTTTTGGGTCTTTACAAGAAGTTGTTTTAAGTTTTTACTATATGTACATATAGTGAAAATCAATGACCCCCGGGGCGGGGCCGATTTTGACCCCAAGGTTATAATTTGAATAATCTTGGTAGAGGTCTACCAGACAATGCCTTATGCAAAATATCTAAGCTCTAGGCCTTTTGGGTCTTTACAAGAAGATTTTTTAAATTTATTCTTATAATGCCTTTTGGTTGCCATGGCAACCAGATTTCTGCATGGAATGAAATTCTTTGAACAACTTTGGAAGCCCTTCACCCAAGGATCAATCCTGCCAAGTTTGGTTGAAATTGGACAAGTGGTTTTTCACAAGAAGATTTTTTAAGTTCACTATATAATCTATATAACACACACACACACAAACAAACACACACACAGGTGAATCGCTATATGCCACCGCATCGCAGATGCTGCGGTGGCATAATTAACATATTCAGATCATTTTAAAGAATGATAATATTTCTTAAGAATGCTTCTCCAAACTGTTAGAATCTATCAGCAAATTTTCAGCCTTAAATGTGTGTTTCTCACCTTAGCAATAAGCTGTAGATTGAATGGTCCAGTGACCTCTAGTGCTCGACCGATGGCGCAACAAATCAATCGAATTTTAGCCAGCGTCTCTTCATTAAGATCTTGCGGAGGTGTGACCAGAGTTGCGTCCCCTGAATGAACTCCGGCATTCTCCACATGCTCAGAGACGGCCATACAAACAACTTCTCCGTCACTTGCTACAGCATCAACATCAATCTCCTGTTTATATAAAAAAAAAAATTTCATTTATCATTTTAAATAAATTTCATGTCTGTTTGGTTTGGTTAACGGTTTAAAGTTATATAATGACAATATGAAATGTAGTATAGCAATATCTTTGCCTAAGTTGCCAAGGAAGACCACAGAACTCCCTATTTACACTATTTCAAATACATGCTGGCACCTGGGCAAAACAACTAACATTCCTTAACACAGCCATACAGTTTTCTCAATGAAAAATACAAAACCCTTGGCAGGATTTGAACCCAAAATAATGAAGCAAAAAAGATTAAAACTTGCACTTAACCACTCTATCAATTCCAACTAAAATAGGACGTAAAATCTGTTTATTATTACAATTTAAAGACAATGTTAGTAATTCAAGTATATACCTGACAACATCAAAATTATTTAAATTTAAGAAATACAAATACATGTCAATGTTAAAGTTACCTTAGCTTCAAGTATGAACTTCGATATGACAACAGGATGTTCTTTTGAGACAGCACTAGCTTGAGACAGATAATTCTCCAGGTCTGTGTGATTATGAGCTACGTTCATAGCCGCCCCACTCAATACATACGAGGGTCGTACCAGACACGGGAATCCGACCTCATCGCAAAATTGTTTGGCGCTCTGAAACCAAAGATATAAGATATATTTCGATACAAAATTCCTAGCTATTCATACAAGCTCACTTTCTCACAGAGCAAATCTAACATACTAAGACATTGTGGATTGAAAAAACTTTGTCTTGTTTTAAAGTTTGTCCAACAACTAGGTTCTGCCATATATTCAAACCAAAATATCCCTTTTTTTATTCAATATTACCATGGCCCACTGTTTCAATTAATCAGCAGCCCTTTCAAAGTAGACAAAGGTTGTCTCTTTAAAAGTAAATCATAAACAAAACTAATTCCAGGTGTCACAATCACATTCTTCATATACAGAGAAAAAATTCATTTCATTTTAACATCAAATGTGCTAGCTAAATTTCTATATCAGATAAAGTGTGTGCTAATTCTACATAGAGTGTAGACTAAACTTACCTCTACTGTGGAGAGCTCTTTCCACCTAGGTTGATGGATGCCCATGTTATCTAACATTCTGGAAAATTTAAACCGGTTTTCTGCATTGTCAATCATCTCTGGTGTTGTACCCAGGATTCTCGCCTGTCCAGAGATAAGAGAAAATAATTTAATCAAACAAACCTTTAACCATTTATTAAAATTAATATTAAACTTATAAAATATTTACTAGACAAAGATATGTACACGCTTCAAAATATGTAAATGTGCATAAAACTTTATGACCTGTTCATTATAAAACATCTAAATAGAAACTTTTGAATATCTACAGTCACCTTCACTTCTAAGGTGGCATTGTACTACCAGGAATATAGATTCAAGGGTTCTCATTCCTGTCCTATTTCATAATAATTAATTAATGCGTATGTTAAAGAAGAATTTTACCTTGTTCCTCTGTAGGGGCATGGCTATATTATTTGGTAACTGTCCACCAACTGATAGAATAATACCATCTGGGTTCTCTAGCATGTATATGTCCATCACTGTCTGAAATTTCAGTTAGAAACAATCACTTAATAAAGACAAAAATCACTCTGATATATAAATGATAGATATATGCAAAAAACAATGCATGTTGTTCATCATTTTAACAGAATAGAACAGAACAGACATTTTATTAAGACTTGTACAAAGTACATCATCTACAAGACATTATATTCATATAACAAAGACAAAAGTTTACAGAAAACCTTAATTAGTATGCCTATCTAGATACCTTTTATTATTATTTTTTTATGGGTTTAACATGGCACCAACACAGTACTGGTCATATGGCGACTTTCCTGCTTTACTGTTGGAAAGACCCGAGTTGCCACACTATGCATTATTTCAGGCATTTGGTGCACACAAGTAGAACCATTGACCTTCAGTAAGCTAGCTTGACAACTTCCTTGCATGAAAAGATCCAAACACCTTGGTGGGATCTAAACCTACAGCAGTGAGGGTCAAGTGGTTTGACGTCAACAACCTTAACCACTTTGCCACCAATGAACAGTACAAGAAATTGTTTTGGGGGGATTTTTTGTGTAAAGATTTAGACAGTCTTTTTGTGTAGAGATTAAGGCACAATCTTTGTGTATAAAGATTTAGACAGTCTTTTTGTACAAAGATTTAGAAACAGTCTTTTTGTATAAAGATTTAGACACAGTCTTTTTGAATAAAGATTTAGACAGTCTGATTGTATAAAGATTTAGACAGTCTTTTTGTATAAAGATTTAGACACAGTCTTTTTGTATAAAGATTTAGACACAGTGTTTTTGTGTAAAGATTTAGACAGTTTTTTGTGTAAAGATTTAGACAGTCTTTTTGTACAAAGATTTAGAAACAGTGTTCTTGTATAAAGATTTAGACAGTCTTTTTGTGTAAAGATTTAGACAGTCTTTTGTATAAAGATTTAGACACAGCCTTTTTGTGTAAAGATTTAGAAACAGTCTTTTTGTCTAAAGATTTAGACAGTCTTTTTGTGTAAAGATTTAGACACAGTCTTTTTGTATAAAGATTTCGACAGTCTTTTTGTGTAAAGATTTAGACACAGTCTGTCCCTTTAATAAGGCATTGTATTATGATCTGGCATCTCTTTACACAAATGTAATGGAAAACTTCAACAAAATCTGTGATGAACATCCAGTTATTTCAATTCTTGAGGTTCTTTACAGATACAAGTCTCTCAGAATTGTTTCATATCATTACTACAAATTCATTCTTTGGATATTCTTTTTATATTCATATTTACATTTAAATTCTAACATCTAACAGCATAAAATGAATTTCAAGCCTTGCTGTTTTTAAGACCGTCTTGAAATATAACAGAAATGCACAGACCCTAATTCTTTCAATTTTTCAGCAAATCAAAAAGTTTTGTGTTTTTTTTCATTGCCATGTTTTAAGTCAAACTACTTTCCAGCTTTAAACATAGAGGCCACTCTGTGCTTTTTTTAGGCACAAACGGGCCTATGTAGGAATAAGCTTACTGGAAAGCTTCATGTAAGAATCCAAAGTCCCTGGCATGATTTGAAGCCAAAACTGAGTGGCATGTTGTTTAAAGTAAATAGTCTTGACCACTCAGTCACAAACTTCCCTTATTATATACCTAGTAACTGTACTGTATTGTACAGTTTTCATCTCACAAAAACTGAAAGTTCTAGGTATATGTAAATACTAAATAAGACAGTCACTTTTTAAAGTATTCTCATATTTGACTTGACTGCCAATGCTTTATCTTGACTATTTGTTGACAATTTACTTCTTTAATAACTGACTAGGAAATGCAATTCTGTATTGTACTGTAAGGTACAGTTTACTTGCTGTTATAAATGATCTACTATTACACTATAACATCACTATCAGTTATAAAGTAATGACTTTACCTCAAACGAGATCTCATCAAAATATAATCTATCACACATGTCATAATCTGTGCTCACTGTCTCCGGGTTATAGTTCACCATGATTGTCTTGTACCCCATCTAAAACAACAAATACATAATACTTTTTACAAATACAGACTTAAGATATCTTTCTTATTTAACGATCAACTCTTTCCTATTTAACAATCAATTGAGATACAGATAAGGGCTCCTTTACTATACTGACAGGCAATGTGACATCTGACACTTAGAATAATTCTTTACATTCATGTCTCTTAGCTACAGGGTTCATACAAATATATTTTCAAAGTTACTGATTTAACCTTTAGACTGCTGGTGGCATTAGGTTCTGCCCATCATGGACCAGTGCTGAGCGAGATCAGCTGGCCTATCCGTGCTGAATAATCTGCACGGTATGCTATTCAGTTAGTTGACATTTTAAAAAAAAAAAACCTTAAAAAGGATAAACTGGTTTTGTCCAGTTTGAAAAATTCAGCTCATCTCAGCCACTCTTGAGACAGATTCTTGGAATTTATTAGTACTGATGTCATATGAGGGAACATGGTCGCGACTCCAGTACAGCTTAAACCCACGACCCCTGGGTTGAGAGGCAGTTAACCACTACACCAATGCTTCAATTTTTGGTGTTGTTGTTTGGTCATGTAACTGCTATTACTGATAACAACAACACATTACTGGAACACCCACATTACTGATCCTGGGAACACCTTGAAGATATACCATATGCAACTAACATTAAACATGAGAATTAAATTACCTTCCTAAGTTCCATTATGCAATTCACAGCGCACCAATCGAATTCCACGCTACTTCCAATTCTGTACACTCCACTTCCTATAACCATAATGTGACCTCCAGTGAAGTTAAGGTCATGGTCGGATGCATTGTATGTAAGATATAGATAGTTTGTCTGGGCGGGCCACTCGGCAGCTACTGTGTCAATCTGCTTGACAAATGGTGTGATTCCATTCTGTCGTCTTATCTGCCTCACTACAAGGTTTGTACTAAAAATAGAACATTTGTACTAAAATTAGAATGTTCTAAATATAGAATATTTGCACTGAATTAGAATCTGTTCTTAAGTAAATTCCATGTACAGGATCTTGAACTATTTTTGCACTAAAAATTGAGAATATTAGTTATAAAATTAGACTATTTGTTCAAATTTGTTTGAATACTTGCTTTCTAAAAATAGAACTTTAGTCTGAAAATAGAAAGATTGCAAAGGAAGAATCCGGATTTAAATAGAGGGATTCTATCCCACAATGGTGAGGGGCAAGTGGTTTTGCAGTCAGCGACCTTAATTAAAGAATTAATTACATACCTTTCAATGGAGTGAGCAATCTGTTCATCACAGAAACCGAGCTGTTTGGCACTCTTCAACATCTCATACGGAATCTGGCTCGGCTGAATTAAAAAATCTTATTCATTACCTATGGTCTATCATATAAAAATTCTTAAGACATTTTAAAAAGAAGTAAGAAAAAAGCACTAAAGAGGATATCTTTAAATGATAAATTCTACATTCAAGAGAGTTTGTGACATCTTTTATCCATTTGTTAAAAAATGTTTTTCTAAGAACAACACATATTACAAACAAACAAGAACAAGAACCGGTTGAACCGGGTGATGCTCCCCGAGAAGGTTCTGGACACAGGAAAGTATAAAAAAAATGAACAAAGGGCAATAACTCCAAAATTACACCAGGCTTTGTTTAGGTTCTTGAAGCGTTGCAGTTCTATCCAATTATATCTAGCTACCTACAAAGTTTCATGTTGATATCTCTAATAGTTTTAAAGTAATGTCCAGGACAAAAGTCAAAAAGTAAAAATAAACAAAGGGCAATTACTTCAAAATAAGGCAAGGCAGAGTAATGATTCTTAAGCACTGCACTTCCACCCAATGAGACCTATCTATCTACAAAGTTTCATGTTGATATCTCTTATAATTTTAGAATAATGTCCCAGACAAAGTTCAAAGTGTCAAAATGAACAAAGGGCAATAACTACAAAAGAAGGCAAGACAGTGTTACAGTTCTTGTGCACTGCAAACTTACTCAATGAGATCTATCTACCTACAAAGTTTCATGTTGATATCTCTTATACATTAAGAAATATGTCCCGGACAAAGTTCAAAGTGTAAAAAATAAACAAAGGGGGATAATTCAAAAATTAGACAAGGCAGAGTTAAGGTTCTTGTTCACTGCACACCTACTCAATGAGATCTATATACCTACAAAGTTTCATGTTGATACCTCTTATACTTTTAGAGTTATGTCCCGGACAAAGTTCAAAGTGTAAAATAAACAAAGGGGGATAATTCAAAAATTAGGCAAGGCAGAGTTACGGTTCTTGTGCACTGCACACATACTCAATGAGATCTATCTACCTACAAAGTTTCATGTTGATACCTCTTATAGTTTTAGAGTTATGTCCCGGACAAAGTTCAAAGTGTAAAATAAACAAAGGGGGATTATTCAAAAATTAGGCAAGGCAGAGTTACGGTTCTTGTACACTGCACACCAACTCAATGAGATCTATCTACCTACAAAGTTTCATGTTGATACCTCTTATACTTTTAGAGTTATGTCCTGGACAAAGTTCAAAGTGTAAAAATAAACAAAGGGGAATAATTCAAAAATTAGGCAAGGCAGAGTTACGGTTCTTATGCACTGCACACCTACTCAATGAGATCTATCTACCTACAAAGTTTCATGTTGATACCTCTTATAGTTTTAGAGTTATGTCCCGGACAAAGTTCAAAGTGTAAAATAAACAAAGGGGGATAATTCAAAAATTAGGCAAGGCAGAGTTACGGTTCTTGTGCACTGCACACCTACTCAATGAGATCTATCTACCTACAAAGTTTCATGTTGATACCTCTTATAGTTTTAGAGTTATGTCCCGGACAAAGTTCAAAGTGTAAAAATAAACAAAGGGAAATAATTCAAAAATAAGGCAAGGCAGAGTTACGGTTCTTGTGCACTGCACACCTACTCAATGAGATCTATCTACCTACAAAGTTTCATGTTGATACCTCTTATACTTTTAGAGTTATGTCCCGGACAAAGTTCAAAGTGTAAAAATAAACAAAGGGGAATAATTCAAAAATTAGGCAAGGCAGAGTTACAGTTCTTGTGCACTGCACACCTACTCAATGAGATCTATCTACCTACAAAGTTTCATGTTGATACCTCTTGTTGTTTCAAAGTTATGTCCCGGACAAGAAAAGGGGACGGACGGACGGACAAGGCGGCGACTATATGCTCCCCCGAAATTTTTTCGGGGAGCATAAAAATGCATTTAAACTGTAACTTTGAGTCAAGTAGATATTACTGTAGGAATCTCTCTTATTTTTGATAACAATGCTAAACAATTTTTTCACATATTTTAGCTGGGACATAATATAATGGGACAAACAACTACAGACTAGACAGGGCCCTCAATCCAATTTAGGGGAGATGGGTGGCTACCCTCAGCAGGGAGAATTTCAGTATATTGGTGGAATGTTAGGTGCATAAAATACCAGATTTCAGTGACCACCTGTTAGTCCAAATCCAATATTCAAGACTGTGTAACTGTATTGTTAACTTCAATTACCTTTCCTTTGTACTCTTTCAGGCCCCTGTAGATGTTAGTGATGTTTTTGAACTTGTGCAGGAACCATTTATCAATCTTAGTCAGTTCATACAGTTTGTCGATATCGTAACCGGCCTGCAGGGCCGCCGCTAACACCAAGATTCTTTTGTCAGTTGGCTCTTTTAATTCCTAGAATATCACAACAATACCATTTTGTACAAAAATGTAAAAACTTTAACAACTCTTTTTTATCAAAGCAATAAATATCACTTTAAAGTGTTTCAATGAGAAAAAAAATAATTTCTTGAACACTTTTAAGTTAATGGTTAAATTCACTTTAATCTTTTGCATTTATTTAATAACTTTAACTGATATTAAGTTTTAATTCTTAGAGCATATTACAGATGTAAGTTTCCTGATTGTATATGCTGAACTCAATATAAACGATTTCCTGAAGAATGGGCGGTTTACTGACAAAATTTCAATTGCAATACAAAAGATCATTTACAATTGCAATAAAATGATGATTCACAAATGCAATACCAAAGATCATCAACAAATGCAATACCAAAGATCATCAAAAACTGCAATACCAAAGATCATTAACAACTGCAATACAAAATACAATGTATCATTCACAATTGCAGTACAAAAGATTATTAAATACTGCAACAAACCATTTACAAATGCAATTCAAAATTGTTCTACAATTACAAAACAACAGAAAAAAAAACTCCTTTATTTACTTACTGATTCGGACACCTTCATACTGTGAGGATCAAACCCTAGCAGTGACTCGTCCATCATTCTTAAAGCTTTCTGGAAAGCCTCCTCAAATCTCCGACCTATAGCCATCACTTCTCCCACACTCTTCATAGAACTGCCAATCTGAAAGGGATACAGTATTTAGTCAAAAAGCATTAAAAAATTAATATCCAGTTTGTTTTTCTTGACAATATACACATTGCTTCTTCTTCTTCCTATAACATCAAACTTTCTACATAAATCCATTGCACCAGCAATTGATGGCATATGGTAAATAAAAACATTTTCGGCAAGAAAATAATCTTAAAGAATCAATGCAAAACACTTTCCATGGTAATGAACTGGCTTTTTTAGAGTAGTAAAATATACCCCCATATAAATGAACCAAGAAGTATTGCATTTAGAAAAAGGGATTATGATAACAAAGGAAAAACTCAGTTAACATTTTAAGTAAAAAGTAGGGCCGGGAATTATATTCAAATATTCGAAACACTACCGAATATTCAAACATTGAAAAACAAATATGAATATTCGAAAAAAAGAAGTTTTTTTGTTATTACTTTCAAATTTCAAATAAGATCGTAAATTAAACCATAAACCTGTACTTGACCAGGTGTTCACACGTTTGTATGACGCGTTTATCGATTTAACGATTATCGCCAATTAACTGTGAAAACTTTGGGGTCTAGCTGATCAAAAAGGCACCCGTTTCACAGTTTGCAATTTACCTGTTTAACAGTTTATAATTTAATTCTTTCCAATTTTAATTATCTTATTTATTCTTTTCTGTGCTAAAATCTTTCTGATTAATCAAATTTGTCTTAAATTTTGTTAAGACGAATAAATCTCGCTATGTTATTAAAGCATGGGAAGTGTCTATATTCTGTCAGAATATATTTATTCCGTAGAAATTAGACTCCTTATGATATTTACTGCGTTATAGCTAAATTTATCTGAAGAATATTTTAAACCTTATCTAAAATTAGAAATGAATAAAAAATATTTAATACAAGTTAAGTTTCAATATAATTATGTGTTATTGGGGCTAACAGGCTACGGTGGAGAATCAAGTCATGTGAGTAATAAGACAAATGATCAGCAGTCAGATTAACTGAACAAAGGCAATCAATTTATGAATTTATTTCAAAAGTTAACATATATGTCGATTTACAATTGATAAAAACTTTGACTTAGTAATAAAGGTATTTTTAATCGTCGATTTTTCCAAGCATATGAAAGTAGTATAGTATTAGACGCAATCAATTTCGGATACATATACGTCAAAGAGAAATATTGGAACAAATGTTGTAAAAACGAATATTCGAATATATTCGAATATGGAACACGAATATGCGAACATCAAATTTCTTATTCGTTCCAAGCCCTAGTAAAAAGTGAAGTTGGGCACTTGAACCATGAACTAAGCTTAATCACTTGAATGTAAAGCAAATAGTTTTAAATAAAGTTTTAAAAGTTTTATAAGTTTTAAAATAAATTAATTTCATTCAAGAAATTTAAACTTGAAACTGACATCATTTTTCTAACTTTATTTTTCTGTTCATCAATCACTTAAAAAAAAATGTTTGATACTTACTCGACATGAAACTCTAGAAAATTTCCGCAAATCCCATCGTGGAATCTTCACAACACAATAATCTAGACTCGGCTCAAAGCAGGCTGTCGTAGAATTAGTGACCGAGTTCTTCAGCTCAGATAGCGCCATGTTGAGTGACAGTTTTGCCGCCACATACGCCAGAGGGTACCCTGTGGCTTTACTAGCCAGGGCTGAACTTCTAGAAAGGCGGGCATTTACTTCAATAATGTAATACTGAAATAAAATACATTTTTTCTGCAAGTTAATGATGTTACATCGAAATATATATGCATTTTATTTCAACAGTGTATGATATAATTCTAAAATTAACCAATGTTTAATCAAATTTATGATAAACAGATTATTCACAGATGTTCATGATGTAACATTGAATTTTTTTATTTCAGCTGGGTTTAACTTTGTGCCAACACTGATAAGGTTATATGGCGACTTTCCAGCTCAACTGGATTAGGAAGATGTCAGGTACCCTTTCGTGCATTATTTCAGGCAAAAACATGCATCTTAGTAGAACCATCAATATTCCATAAACTAGCTGGATAGCCTTCAGACATGAGAATCCAAGGTCCCTGGTGGGAATTGAACCCATAGCAGTGAGGGTCAAGTGGTTTGAAGTCAATAACATCACCTCGGCATAAACAGGCACCCCAAGTAGAACCATCAACATACCGCAAGCTAGCTGGATAGCTTTCTCACATAAAGAATCCGAAAGACACTAGCACAGCTCCAACCTACAACTGTGAGAGGCAATTGGTTTGAAGTCAATGACCCTAACCACTCGACCACCGCCACTCCTTTACCTTCTAACTCGAACTGGGCTAAGAATCCTACTAAATATCAGTTTTTCAATTTAATTCTAATGAATTTTTTTAAATTATCTTTTTACTTTTTAAATGCCCCAGTTGTCCTTTAATGGATTTTATATTTTTTATGCTTTTGTATCTAATTGGAGCTCACTTAAACTAACAAACTTACCTCTTGAGATTCTGGGTTGAGGGCATACTGAATGTTACATTCTCCCACAATACTCAGATGCCTGATCACCTTGATGGCCGTAGATCGTAGGATGTTGTACTCTACGTTGGTGAGGGTCTGGCTAGGGGCAACAACGATAGATTCTCCTGTGTGTATACCCAGCGGGTCAACATTCTCCATGTTACATACCTGAATTTTCAGAAACATCAATATCAAATATAGGCACAAACTTTTAAAGAGAGTGAAATTAAAAATAAAATGAAGTTTTATCTGAATTCTTTAACTGACAGTCTGTCTTGAACAGTAAGTTTATTATAATTAATTATAATTTATTGGTAGAGAATTAAAATTAAAATTTATTAATAATGGTCATTTTATGACTTTCCAGCTTTAAGGGAGGAGAGAGGCCTCAAGTGCCAAGCCTTGAATTACTGCATGTGTAAATATATTCACATGGTTAAAATGTTTGGCAGTATTCCTGCAGACATTAATTTTTTATCTGCCAATTCTTGTTTAGACTGAATAGTTTTTTAAATCTGTATTTTCTTATTATTCATGTTTTTAGAAGCAATCTAACCAGACTATTCTACAGATTTTGATTGATCACATACCCGTGCCAATTTTGCAGCTCCGTAAAAATGGTATTTCACAACCGTGCATATATTTGATGTGATGTCATTTGTGTTATATAAACATAAGAGTTAAAACGCGCTAAATGTTAGCGTTATACTATGGGTGCATTAGGAAAAAATGTTTCTTTATCACTTAAAACGGTCTTTATTATTTGTATGTGATAAATAAAATATTATATTCATGTAAGTTCATTACTGAATCTATTGAACTCATTGAATAAAATAATATTATGCTCGTCAGAGTCCCGCATTATTTTACTATATTCAACTAGTTCAACAAATTCAGTATTAAACTTACACTCATTCAATATCCTCTATATATAATATTACTTACTGTGATACAGTTGTCATAGGCGTCTCGTATCACCTCATATTCCACTTCTTTCCATCCTTTAAGTGATTTATCTATCAGCAACTGACTCGTATGAGCAAACGCTGCCGTTGCCAGGATTGTCAATTCTTCCTCATTGTCGGCGAACCCAGACCCGAGCCCACCTAAGGCAAATGCTGCACGTACCAACACAGGGTAACCAATTCTGCCTGCAGCTTGGACAGCCTGTATTTGAGAAGAAATACAAATATAGTCCTTCAAGAGAAACACAAATTATCTATATAAAATTAATTTCTTATTTGTAAAAAAAAAAATCTTACAATGAATCTTAAAACTGTAAAATATTGCTTTTTGCACCAACAGATATGGTCTTGGTAACACTTGCATTAGTTGAATTTACCTCATGAACGACTGTCAAAAATCAGCTTTTTTGTAGCAGATATGGTAAACAGAGATAGATTATTACAGGTATTATATATGGATCGATCACTCATGATTTTTAACCAACAGCTCCATAATTTAGTTGGCATGTATGGAGTTTTCCAATTCTGGTACCACATTAAACACAGTTGAAAAAAAAGTATTATAGACACAAATTCAATTTTCGAGATAGAAAAAAACAATACTGTGAATTTACTTATTTTCGCTGGCATGAAATTTCGTGGTTTTGTCACAAAGAGCAATTTCACAGGTTCTTAAATTTGTGAACAGTTTATCTTTCCAAAAGGTAAAATGTAAATAATGTGATGAAAAATAAGCTTACAGCAGACGCAATAAAATTTCATTGGATATCAAATTTGTGGATTGACCTATCCATAAAAATAAGATCCCCACCAATGATAATGATTTTGTATTTACTGGCCTTGAAATTTTTAATACCATAATCTTAAATACACATTTTTCACAGCAAAAATGGTCTATCCAAAAAACAGATAATTTGCTTACCTGTTCAACACTGTAGGCGGCCTCACTGGGTGCCACATGCTCGTTAATCTCCGCCATTTTCTCTGCGAAAACTTTCCTATCTTCAGTCCACTCTATTGACTTGACTTGTGTACCCATGACTCTGACGTTATACTCATCAAGTATCCCGGAATTTGTCAGCTGAATGCCACAGTTAAGTGCCGTCTGCCCACCAAACGTCAGCAATATACCATCAGGCCTTTCATTTCTGATAACCTTAATACAAATACATTACTTCTCTATACAATTTGCAACAAGAGTAGCGTACGCAGTGTAAACGCTCGTCTGTTAAAAATTCTAATTTAATAAGGGCCATAACTCCAAAAATATCTCTTTTAGGATTATGCCCCTTGTCTAACAGCTGCAACTTGTCAAGGTAACGGTAAGCAAGTATTGCAAGTTTCATGTAGATAAAATGTTTGAAAAATGGGCTACATTAAAGTTTTTGCATGACGATGACAAAGTCGCTGCAGCAATCATAATAGCTCTACGTTTTCTTCGAAACACATTCTTTTTTGGAATGTATTGTTTGCAGTTAAACCATTGCGCTGGTCTTTTTCAGTCTAGCTTGCACCTCTTCAAACATTTTATATAAATTTGAAGCTTTAGAATCTTCAAATTTTTATCAAGATAGATGGTTGAAGACAGCAGTACTACAAAAGTACAATCACATCTTAAGGTATTAGCACCCTAATGCATAACCTCCGCTTTGAAGAGTATTCAAATAGGCTAGAACTACTTTTAACTACATTGAAAATGAGGGCCATGGGTTCAATCCCCAGAAGGGTCAACTTTTTTTTTCTTTCTTTTTTTTCTTTTAACATTATTTATGTATCTCTCATGTCCCATTTGGAAAGAAAAAAGTGTTCAATTTTGATTTTTTAATTTATATAGGTATTTATTGGCTAAATTATGCTAAATATAGTAATAAATATGGTACCTGATATTTTCAAAGTGTAATATAATCAAAACTAGACGGTAAAAGTATTTCATATTTTACAAGATCAACCAATATACTTTTTTAAAAATTTTGGGAAACTTTGAAAACAGGCACTCATTTGGGTAAATTTTAAGATTTTTTTAACTTAGGCTCCCTAAGTAGAAAAATGGTCAGACACGTGGTAAAAATGGGTGGGGTAGGGTAACATTTTTATACAGATTTCATAAATTTTAAGTAGAAACCATAATTTTGCTTATTTGGATTGTTAGCTGAATGTTACTATTTGTTTCTTACCAAAAATTAATGGGAAAACATTTTTCATTAGAATGTTATTGCAGATTATTTAAAGGTTCCTACTTTCTAAAAAAGGGCCCTCATAACATCCTAGCTTGAGTTCAGAAAAGTGGTCATAACTTGATTTCCGTACGGTAAACTTTGTTTAAATTTTGCATACAGGTGTACTTAAAGGTATACATCTGACTTATGATGTCAATTTTTTAGTTCCTGATAGTGCCCATTAGGGTCCCAATACCTTAAATTCTTTTTTTAAAATTCAAGAATATTTTATTGAAATCTACTAGTTTTATGTAAAATTTATCATTTCTGTTTACCACAATGCTTATAACTATCAAATTTCAACCTATAAATTCATCTTCTAATTTTATTTCTACAGAGAAATTACACTAATTTTGACAAAATGGCGATGATTTTATACATACCTGAGAGACATATTCCAATGTTATTGGTAGGAAATAAGTTTTTTCCGCCATCCCTTTAGACGTCTGTACAGTCGCAATGTTAGGGTTAATCAAAACAGTTTGTATACCCTCCTCTCTCAAGGCTTTAATTGCCTGCAAAATAAAAAAAATTCAATGATTGCAGTGGTTTCCTTTCTTAATTGGGAAGAAGCCTAAGGCTCTTGATTTTGGGAAAAATTATCACTTATACTCGTATTACCAATTACTGAGTTGGGAAGTAAAAAAGCTGGTGTAAGTTCATTTTTTTTTTTTTGGAAAACTGTGATTTTAAAGAAAATTTAGATTGGTAAGAGGTCTTTTATTAGTCTCTGTTATAGAAGGTGAAAAAAATTACTTGATTGAATAACTATTATTTTACAGGCCGGTCCTTTAAACTACATTAAAAGTACTACTGTATAAATAACAAGAGGGCCATGATGGCCCAAAGTCGCTCACCTGTATATAGGCCCCTGGAGCGGGGCCAGTTTAAACCCCAGGGCTTTTATTTGAACATTTGAACAAACTTGGTTGTATATGTATGCATGTATATATGTATGTATGTATATGTGTATATATATATATATATATATGTATGTATATGTATATATATATACATATACATACATACATATATATATATATATATATATATATATATATATATATATATATATATATATATATATATATATATATATATATATACACACACACATAATATGTATATATATCTATATATATATATCTATATATATATATACATTTATATATATGTATATATCTAAAAAAAAAGTCAAGCTAATGAATGACCCCCGGGGCAGGGCCAATTTTGACCCCAGGGCTTTTATTTGAACAAACTTGGTAGACACCCATGAGAACATGTTTCATGCTAAATATCTTAGCTCTAGCTCTTTGAGTTCTTTAAAAGAAGATTTTTTAAGTTTTTACTATATGCACATAGGGAAAATCAATGACCCCCGGGGCGGGGCCAATTTTGACCCCAGGGCTTTTATTTGAACAAACTTGGTAGACACCCATGAGAACATGTTTCATGCTAAATATCTTAGCTCTAGCTCTTTGAGTTCTTTAAAAGAAGATTTTTTAAGTTTTTACTATATGCACATAGGGAAAATCAATGACCCCCGGGGCGGGGCCAATTTTGACCCTAGGGCTTTTATTTGAACAAACTTGGTAGACACTCACTAGAAGATGTTTCATGCTTTATATCAAAACACTAGCTATCTGGGTTTTTTCAAAGAAGATTTTTAAGTTTTTGCTATACATAGTCATATAAGGAAAATCAATTACCCCCGGGGCGGGGCCAATTTTGACCCCAGGGCTTTGATTTGAACAAACTTTGTAGACACTCACTAGAAGATGTTTCATGCTTAATAGCTAAACTCCAGCTATTTGGGTTTTTTTAAAGAAGATTTTTTTAAGTTTTTGCTATACACATATAAGGAAAATCAATGACCCCCTGGGCGGAGCCAATTTTGACCCCAGGGCTTTTATTTGAACAAACTTGGTAGACATCTATTAGAACATGTTTCATGCTAAATATCTTAGCTCTAGCTCTTTGAGTTCTTTAAAAGAAGATTTTTTAAGTTTTTACTATATGCATATAGGGAAAATCAATGACCCCCTGGGGCGGGGCCAATTTTGACCCTAGGGCTTTGATTTGAACAAACTTGGTAGGCACTCATTAGAAGATGTTTCATGCCAAATATCTAAGCTCTAGCTCTTACGGTTTTTTAGAAGAAGATTTTTTAAGTTTTTCTTATTGGTTGCCATGGCAACCAGAGTTTTTAATGGAATTTAAATTTTTGAACAACTTTGAAAGGGGTCCACCTAAGGATCATTTCTGTAAAGTTTGGTTGCAATTGGCCATGTAGTTTAGGAGGAGATGTTGTTTGAAAAGTTTGACGCCATTTTTTGAAGGACGCACGACGCACGACGCACGACGCACGACGGACGCAGAGTGATGACAAAAGCTCACCTTTGAGCACTTCGTGCTCAGGTGAGCTAAAAAGGTTTTGAGGGGGCGGGGGCAGGGAACAGCACATCAAACATTAGGTCGGTTTACAAGTCAGTCTTTTCACAGTCAAAATGACATAGTTGGTAAGTTTTAAAGTTCTAAAGAAAAGCTAAAGAAAGCAACCAGAATGATACAGCAAGACTTCAGCTTCCATTAATATTTATATTATAAAGAGGGACTTTCAGTATCTGGCAGGACAGCTTTCTCAAATGCAAATATCTGTATGACAGAAGCTACTCTTTGTTTGTGTCATAAAAAGTGACTTTCAGTACCAGGCAGGACATCTTCCTCAAATGCAAAAACAGCCTCTATATTAAGGTTCAAACCTCTTGAAGTGTTAAGTTAATATTCGAATGTTGTAAGTCCTTATTGACCAATCTGTATGTAGCTTAAAGAAACCAAAGTAACACTTTCCTTACTTTAGCCCTTAACTTACTGGATGCTGCAGAATCTACTAAGCTTTTGACCCACTAGATTCTGAAAATCTACACTACAGAGTTCTAGGCATACAAATATAAATACTGCAAAATCATCATTACTCATGAAGCAATAATTTTTGTGGTTTTCGTGGAGAGGCCATCCACAAATTCAAAATCAAACAAAACTTTATTTCGTCTACTGTATGAATAGTCAAAGTCAACATCATTGTAATTTTGTTTGCAAAATAGACAATCCGCAAATTTAAGAACCCATCGAAAATGACATATTTGACAAACCATTAAATTTCGTGCCCTCGAAATTAAGTGAATTTACAGTAAACAACATACCTGGGAGCCACTGTAATCAAATTCTCCCGCCTGCCCAATGGACAGACCACCCGAGCCTAACAGCAGAACCTTTCTTGGCCGCTCTGTAACGATTTCTGACATAGAGACAGGGCTTCTGAGTACACTGTGTAATCTCTCTTTGATCGTAGGACTGCAAGATATATAAACAAACATGGCACGATTAAAAACATTTCTTGCATAACAGACGGATCTACTACTGTTTACACCAGAGCTAGAAAAATTCATACTCCCTTGTAACACAAGCAACCTGCTTTAAATGATGTCATTCCCATGTGCCTTTTGTGTTAAGGCTAACACAACTTGGCCGCTATAAATGTAGTTGTAAATTCATACACTACTATAAGAAAAACGTACTAAATGAAAATATCTGTTTTCGTAAATTGTTTCCAAAATATGATTTATGTAATATGCAAGAATAAGAATCAAACATCAACTATCGTCACACTAAATTGTAATGTATTAATAACTTTTTATGAAATCATTAAAAGATTCACGCTATACTTCTTTTTACATCCTATGGAATGACTGTACACAGTTATTAAAAGAAATCTCTATAAAAGGCCCTTATTTAGACAGTGTGCCATTTTTTTATCTTTTTTTTTTGGCGGGAGATGAGGGTAGTTGGGTGTTACATCACACCAACACTGTTAAGGTCTTATGGCCAAATGGCAAATTTCCAGCTTCTTAACATATACAATACAGTCTATAAACTAGTTTCTTTTTACCTTGTTCTCATTTGTTTGAAGGCTCGAACTTGATCCAGAAATACATCAAACAAGTGTTCCAAGTCACGAGGCCCGGCCATATGTTCTGGATGAAACTGTACGCTAAAATGCAAACCATATTAATCATTGAGAAATTTAAATCTTCCTGAAATCCTCATATAATTATAAAATAACTAATTTATTTTGACATGTAAAAACATGAAATGCATCTATCAATTTACAATTATTTTTTTTCTTTAATTCGGTCACATCAACATTGAAAAGTCATGTGGCCACTTCCAGGCTTAACTAGTGGAAGGAAAACGTTAAATGCACCTCCATGCATTGTTTCATCCATAAACAGGCAGTTAGTCAAAACACTGCATGCCTGGAGTAAATCCATGATGAAAGGGTTCAAGATTAGGTTGTTATTAAAGTGAAGTACAACACTGAAATAAACCGCAAGTCATACCTAAACACTGGCTTGCTGTCATGGACTATTCCTTCATTTGTCTTATCATTGGCATTTGTGAACAAAGCTGACCACCCTTCTGGTAAATTGGAAGCATCCACTGCAAAACCATGATTCTGTGTGGTGATATAACAACGGATTGATCCACAATATGTGCAGGGTTGATTATGTCCTCTATTTCCATATCTATAAAATAGTCACATCAAAATATTCATTATCGTAAACAAAATCAATGCTCTGGTATTTGATTGGTCAAAAACTGTCAGAGTAAGTACTGACCAATGAAAATCATCAGATCTCAGAAAAAAACGTTTTTTTAACCTTGACATCTAGTATTACGCAATAACATTCACACAAACTTACTTCATTTTATGTGTAGACGCTCCTGCGGCTAGAGATAACAGCTGGTGCCCAAGGCATATACCAAACACAGGCTTCATGTTGTCAGCATTGACAACCTTTCTTATGTTCCCGATAGCTAGTTCACACATTTCGGGATTGCCGGGGCCGTTACTCAGAAACAAACCGTCATAATCTGTAATCAAACAGAGCATATAAAAGTTTATTGAAGACTGAAATTGTTTGTTGTTTTTTGTAAATGATAGATTAAGAAAACATGATCATTGGCTATAAATTTTAGCAGTGTTTTGCTCAAAACTGGAATGAGAATTCACACATGGGGTGATCGCCAAGATCAGAATCAAATATGAAAACATCTTATTATGTTCGCAACTTAACAACAATAAATTATTCACATTTGGCACTGTATTGATCGCATATTTTCCTCCAAAGTTGGGAATATATAAATAGATATTATTTTAAATTGGGAGAATGATCAAATATCAGCTATAAAATAGGGTCAAAAAGAAACTTACACTAAAACCTTACTTTCCTGTCTATTACATTATTTACAGTTCTAAATTCAAAAAAACATCTTAAATTTTCAATGAATCACCAATATGACAAATGAAAAAAAATGCTATAGAAAACCAAACAAACGATAAAAACTATTTGTAAAAGGTTGTATCAAGAATAGATATAGCACCTTTCAGATTCAGCGGATTATCCCAAGGTACGACTGTGACATTGGCCCCACGTTCACACAGACATCGAATCTGATTATACTTTATGCCACAATCAAGGGCCAGAATCTTGATATCTCCTTTGCTGTTGTATGAAATCGGTTCCTGAAAGACATTAGACAGATGTGCTCTTTGTAACAAAACTTAATTTCCTTGAAATATTTTGGCTCATCTCGAGGTGTGAAGCTTTAAAGTAAACAGCTTTAGAAGTAACCTTTAAGTTTATAACCTTTATTACAAAAGAGACGATTGAAGTGTTTTTGGGCCATATGATCAATTTAGTCATTGGGAATATAACCCATTAAAGACTATATAATAGGTTTATCTACTAATAAAATAAGCAATACCTTTATAGAGACTTCTTTCACAAGGTGTAGCTCATTGGGGTCCATAAACGGTACTGACTCTGGGTCTGTTCCTTTAACTACCAGTTTACCCAACATTGTTCCTGTGTGCCGGATTTTCTTCGTCAAACTTCTGGTATCTACTCCTGAAACAAAATCCGAGAAGACATGATTTTGTGGCATTTTAAAACATTTCAACGTTATGCTGGGGTTTACCAATATAATTGCATGAATATATTACATTTGCCCCTCACTCTGTACAAACACTGCTTTGTTAACATATATTCAAACATTTCTAGTATCTAGTAAATTGTTCATTATATTGTATCATTTTGTTCTTGCATTTGTTAAAAAACAAAACATAGAAAACACCCTTTTTTATATGCGGTAAGACCAAAAATAACTGCCTCAGATCCAAAAAGATCATCTCAGGAAAACTTTGATGACAACCTTGAAACTGTAATACGTGTATATGTATGACAGATTTTTTGTTTTACATAGCAGTGTAAGTGATATTAGTATTCTCATACCTAAGAAACTATAAGTATGCAACTTAAGTGTCAAGTTTCACAAGTTACAGAAATGTGGCACAACAGACTACATGCACTTTCATAATATCAATATATGATAGCAAACTATTGTTTTGAAAATCAAAATAATAAAATATCACCTTTGTTTTATTATCATTGATAAAATAATGGATTACTGATTTCAGATGGACCATATCAAATCAATTTAAAATAAACTAAGAATTTCTGTTCTATTTTTGTAAAAACACTGTAGCTAAGATTTACCATAAATGCCTGGGATGTTGTGATCCTTCAACCATTTTGATAATGACTTGGCGGCACTCCAGTGACTGTACTCTTCAGTGACGTCACCGACGACCAATGCTGCAACATGTATATGATCCGACTCGAACCACTTAATGAGGCCAAAGTCGTCCACTTCTTCTTCAGGTATACCATAATTCCCTATTAAAGGGTATGTCAACACAAGAATCTGTTTCCTATACGAGGGGTCGGTCAGAGACTCCGCATATCCCACCATACCCGTCTGAAATACTGAAAATAGAATTGATCAACCAAATCATACTACTTTGTCTTGAAGAAAATCTGTTGTTTTCTGTAAGGAGACAGTCATGTTGTGAAATTACTTGCCTTACAAACTGGCACTACCTAGTATTACTATATTGTTATAAATAGTAGCTTGTTTTTCAGTCAAGAGAATTCAGATTCTGATCAACACTACAGGTGTACACCATGTGACCAGGTAACTATCAGTAATTCTTACCCTCCAATCCCAAAGACCCCTCTATAATTGAAATAAAATTACTTATGAATACAATCATTTAAAATGTAATATTTATCATTAACTAGAAATGTGTCGTCAAGCCAGGGATGCCCCCGCATGCAGCCAAAATTTCAGATCTTCCAAATTTGTTTGCCCAAATTATTTTTTTTTCATTTTAAGTTCAAAGCCCTTAAAACTATAAAATGTTAACACAAACCATTTTTATACAAAGTTCAAGGCGCTGAAACTGAAAATTCAAAATTTTTCCAATAGTCAAGAAAGATAACTTTGTCCAAAATCATTGAACCACGACCAAATTCAAACTGCTTATTCCTAAGATGTATCTATATGTCAAATTGAGATGATCAAAGTTAAAGGGGCATAACTCTGCCAAAAATCATCGAACCATGACAAAATTCGAAATTGACCTGCGCATTTCTTTGACGTATCCATATGTCAAATTTGAGTTGAATGTGCAATACCCTAGAGTAGATAACTAACAGAAACTGAAAATTTCATATTATTTTCAAAGTGAAAGGGGCATAACTCTGCCAAAAATCATCAAACCATGACAAAATTCGAACTTGACCTACTCATTTCTTTGACATATCCATATGTCAAATTTGCGTTGAATGTGTAATACCGTTGGGGAGATAATGAGTGGAAATTGAAAATTTCCTATTATTTTCAAAGTAAAAGGGGCATAACTCTGCTAAAAATCATCAAACCATGACCAAATTCGAACCTGACCTGTATTTTCTCATGACATATCCATATCATGTCAAATTTGAGTTGAATTAGTGCAACCGTTTCAAAGATAATGAACGGAAACTGATGATGACAGAATGACGGAAAGATGGAATGACGGAACAGGGTAACACTATATGCCCCAGCCACTCAATTTTTTTAGATTTAATCTTACGTCAAAAGCATAGAAGGAAGAATATCTTAATTGTAGTAAAAAGAATTTCTAGAAAACATTATTTTTTTGTGTGTAAAGTAGTTTCAATTTCATATTTGACCTTGACATTCAAGGTCACTAAAAGGTCAAGGTCACATTTGAAATTATCATTATGTTAGTTCAGATCCATTAATAATTAACAAAGTTCATGCCTTTTCCCATTGACACCATGGATCAGATTACCAGACCCATTGATTTTATGATCCATAAAAACATACTTTATATTGTTATAGATCTAATATATAATACATTTTTACAGATTGCTTATAAGTCTGCTTTTTTTCTCAGTGATATGTGATGTTTTAATGATATACTGTATATCTATATTATGTTTTAAATTTTTAAAATGACTATTAAATAGATTTATTTTCATTTGTTTATTTATTTTTCTTATTGTTTTCAGAGGGGTGAAGGAATCTAGGCGAGTGTTACAGTACTGGTTACTGACCTGTTGATGCTTGTACACCTGTAATCAGTACTTTTATGCCATGTTTAATTTTTGTTCGGCAATCGTATGATAATATATGTTTTTGACATATATACCTTTATAAACAAAGTATTTAAGCAAATTTATCCAATTTGACATATTCTGATATGTGTTCTTCATTTTTTATTTTACTAGATCTATAGAAAGAAAAAAAACAACACAACTTTTCGAAATAAAAACGACTTTTCGCTAATATGTTCGCATATAATTTATGATTTATTTACTTGTTTATCGACCTTGAACTTCTTTTAAAGTTCACGCACTGAGTCTGAGAAATTTAGGCTTGGCAATGATTATCATACAAACATAATTATATCGTTAATCCAACTGTTCCTTACCAACTTCACCCGGGACGCTGTTTTCAGCACCAAAACAATTGCCTTCATAAACTGTTCCATCTTCTAATATAAGAGAAGTCTTCGTCATTTTTTCCGGGATTTGCACGACACACGTGTGAAGAAATTTGTCGAATGAAAATTCTGAAATAAAGTTTAAGAAAAACGTTGTTGTTTTAAAATTTTAATTGCTAATGACTTAAACGGTTCAATGATACGTTTCTGTGAGGTATTTACCTCTTATCACTTATTTTCAAAGTCAAATATTTCGAATTTAAGTAAACACGATGCGCTCAGTACGGCATCGCCGTCATTACTGAAAGGGAGGCAACTTTTGCATCCTTATTAGCTATAGAAATCCAACAGGCCTTTTTCCCGCGCTCGCCCTTTAAATAAGTTACACGCTTTTTAAAGTTCTTTCACATTTTTATGGCTTGTCCATACAGTCTTTCGAAATTATTGGTTTTGTCAAGTTATAACATTTTACATTGACATAATGAAAAGCAAAAATAAAAATATTTTCAAGGTATCAGTGATACAGTACAGTAGATTGGTTTTACAAATCACGAATTTATTGCTACACAATAAAAAAAAAATATTATAAATTTATTTAACATGCAATTATCAGACTTTACCCGTACCAGCTGGGTCTTTAATAGACGAGATGAGAGGCCTTAAATCGTGATATAGATCTAGTAGATCTAGATATACATTTACTATTTCCTAAAACACAAAATTCTTTTTCACCTTGTTAAGATTTTGGTTACTAGGGTTATAGGAGGACGTATAAGAAGGGATTGATCAAGAATGACTATCTTTCGTTTTGATCTCAGTGTTTGCTTAATTCAAACAGGGTCTTTCTATTTGAAAGTCAAAACGGTGTATGAATTCCCGCTGATCTTATTGACGGCGTTGTACTCGGTTATTTAAGAAATAATATATCCCAAACTGTGATTTTATTGCTCAATAACATCACTGTTTGGAGTTCGGATGCTAGGAATTATATCACGAGGGCGTAGCCCGAGTGATATAATGATGCGCATCTGAACGACAAACAGTGACGTTATCAAGCAATAAAATCATCGATTTGGATATATTATTTCGATTCTAACACGACATCAACAAATAAATGCTACCGTACATGATATATTAGCTAAATGGCGAATGATTTGTTTCCGTACTTATTGTCAGCGCGTCACATTTTTAGTGGTTACGTCACGTGTATAATGATTACGTCACATATCTAAATATAGAACGTCAAACAGTGATTTTATAGCATAATTACACACACTTTCGGTTCTTCTATGTTCAATAGGAAAAAATGCGGGTCGTGTTAGAATACATAATTGTACACGGATATTGCGTAATAAATGCAGATGGACTGGTCAGCGGGAGGTCTCCACACATGGCAAAATAAGAAAAGGATCACGCGCGGTGTTTGCAATACACGATACATTCTAATTAAAACATGAGTGACATTTAACTTATTGTTTGATCATATTTTATTGCTTTAAAATATGTACAAATCGTACCTGGCAACATAGTGTACATTTTATTGGCACATTATGCCTTAAAAATGAATAAATATTAACTTCTTTAGAAAGGTCACAGATACATGTATATATACCTGAAGGGATACTAACAAAAGCCCCCCGGACGAAAGCCCCCCCCCCCCTCATCTAAAAATGACAAGGTGGACAAAAGCCCCCCATGAAATTTCCACATAGGACAAAAGCCCCCCCCCCATAAAAAAGCAAAGGTAGGACAAAAGCCCCCCCCCCGGTCAAATTTGAATGTAGGACAAAACCCCACCAGTTAAAACCCCACCACTCAAAATTTTATAGAGTGGACAAAAACCCCACCACTAAATTTTATAGAGTGGACAAAACCCCACCACTTAATTTTATAGAGTGGACAAAACCCCACCACTTCAGTTTTATAGAGTGGACAAAACTTTCTTGTAAACATGTTAAAAAACAAACAATTGTGCAGCAGATGAAACTCAAAAGAATGTGTGAACAACTCATCAATAAGGAGAAGACCTGTACCCGAGTTTCTTCAGGCTATCAGCCACAGTATCCACTTAAACTAAGTACAATGAAGTACAATGAAGTACAATGAAGGAAAATTGTCTGAACTGAATAAATTAGAAATGTGCTATAAAAATGTGCTATTTCTAATCATTAATTGATGAAAATGTGCTACATTCTTGATTAATAGTAAGTAGTTTATTTTTTATATAAATAAATTGAAGACATGAATTTGAAAAAACTTAAAATAATGGATAATTCACGGTCATAAATGTGGCACAGTCTCAAATAAATGACTACTCTTTGATGTTGATTTAACAGTTTGTAAATTATTTGTATAATCTCTTATACCAGTAGATTCTATTACACAAATGTTATATTGAAATTAAAAAATAAAATGTGAAAATGTGTACTGTATATTATATATATTTTAATTCATCAAATCTTGCCCAATAATTGGTAAGTGGTGGGGTTTTGTCCACTCTGTAAAATTTAGTGGTGGGGTTTTGTCCACTCTATAAAATTTAGTGGTGGGGTTTTGTCCACTCTATAAAATTTTGAGTGGTGGGGTTTTAACTGGTGGGGTTTTGTCCGTCTTCCGTCAAATTTACATATAGTGTAAATGAATTAATACAAATGAAAATAATTTGTTTTAATGTTTATTAATAATGTATATATTGAAGTGATAACAAAGTATGATAACAGATGAAATAATGCATGCATGCGATACTGAATTCATAGCTTTTCATATACACAACAAGCGTCAGAAGAGAATTATTATCAATTAATCTTATTAAAGATTAACCTCTTATTAATAAATTATTTCTATTATATATGATTATAATCTAGTAATCAAGCTAGTAATTAGAATACCTTAACAATAGCTGGGAATTATCAGTTTTGATCTTTAATCAATTTCAAAAGACTTCTATGTAAAAGTTGTGAATGAGGGTTTCATTTTGAACAAATTAACAAAATAAACAATTTTATTGAAAAAAAAACATACATATACAAATATATGTTTTCTATTTGTTAATTAGATATATATATATAACAAAATAACCAAATTAATTGAAAAAAGGCAGATATTAATTCATTTACACTAAATGTTAGTTTCATGGACCATGGGGGGGCTTTTGTCCTACCTTTACTTTTTTTATGGGGGGGGGGGGGGCTTTTGTCCTATGTGGAAATTTCATGGGGGGGGGGGCTTTTGTCCACCTTGTCATTTTTAGATGGGGGGCTTTCGTCCTGGGGCGGGGGGGGCTTTTGTCCTACACTCCTACCTGAAGAAAATAGAGCTAAATGTAAAATAATGTGTCATAAAAGTAGTAAAACGTAAACAAAGTAGATCTAATTAATATTTTGACATCCATACAAAATACTAAATCACTATTGCCAAAAATCAACAAAAGAAGAAAGCAGTCCAAATAGTGAAAACTAATAAATATCTAGATGGAAACTATATAAAAAAAATAGATTTGGATAGAAAAGAAGAAAAAGTATCTGTTGGGCATAATGGGCCTTTTAACAAAGCAGAATACAATTAATATTTTCGTTTATTGAGCGGAAAAAAGAACTAGAGTTCATAATTATGTTATAAAAATACTTCAGCAACGGTCCCTATAGGTTTACGTAATCCAAACAACACTCTTCCATCCACGCAGTTTATTTTACTTATTTAAATGTTTAAAGGTCCATTATGCCTCAGAAATGCTATTATTTTTATTTCTCAAAACTTTTTAGCTTTGGTATCTTGTTACAGTTTCAAAGAAAGATACTAATTTGCCACATAAATGAATTATCTTTTTTTTCTTCCTTTGCTCTGTTTGCAAGCAATTCGTATATTATAGTGAATTAGTATTTTGTATGGAAGTCAAAATAATACATGTATTTTGTTTACATTTTGCTACCTTTGTGACACATTACTCCACGTTCAGCGCTACTTTCTTCGGTTGTAAACATCTTAAATGCTAATCCATTTTTTAAACATTATTAAACACATGTTTGACATTTATTGACAATAAACAATCTTGGATTTCTGAGGCAGAATGTACTTTTAAGAGGTCGTTTTCGAACCATTTTATTCAATGCAGTCAGTCAGTCTTTCTGGTAACCCCCCGCATCCGCGAAGCATCAAATAACAGGTATTTCGTTATTTCATGGGAGGTAAATCTCGGAGCATTACTGCAATACAGTGCTTTTTCTACATGAAATATACACGTTCTTATTACAATTTTCCAATTGTAACAATTTAGGTAATATAAATATACTACATGTACATGTTTAATGCTGAACATGTACCCATGTTCATAGCCTGAGTCTACTATATACATATCAAGTGATGTTTTTAAATAAAATCTAAAACCAAACTTTTTAAAAGTCTGATGTAAACCTAAAAATAAGTTTTGTGTTACATAATACGAAAATTAACAAAAACACAGATACTTAATAAATGATAAATAATAAATGAACACTCTGTCAAAGTATTGACATTGAAGATGAATTTCATTACATATTTAAGTTTCAGTTCATCCATGCAGCTGTAATGATTTAGAGCGATCACAGTATATATCGAGATCTTATCAGATGCACTTAACTATATCATGATTTACTTAAACATTATTTTATTGAGTTAGATTATTTAACATATAATTTTCAAAAAGCCTTTGATTTAAGAAAACAAACATAAGGCTTTCATTTAAGAAAACAAACATGTATTAAACTATGGATGAACGCCACATACTATAATATACTTATTTAAATGTTCAGTGTATATGTTCATAACAATTGACTTATTCTTTTTCTTTCTTTTTTTTTTGGGGGGGGGGGTTACGTTTATAAAGTTTTCTTTTCTTGATTATGTACTCTTCTGTTCTAAAACAATGTAAACTTAGATGTAGAAAGCGTTAATTTTGGTGAAATATGTTCATATATTTATTACAGTTATTTCATATGCTCTATTTTCCTACAATGATATTAATAAATCGCATTTGCGTTGTTTGAATCGGGTTATTTCTTATATTCAGAGACTTTGTATTCTGTATCCAGATAAACAAGATTCTTTAAAGCAGTATTTTGCAATTTTGACTTAGTTCCTAGCTAATCGAATTGACGCGAGGTCGGCCCAATGCCAGGAACATATTCCTTATTAGGGCGATCATACATAATACCGATTGTTCCAACCAATCTATCCACGCCTGCTAAATTTGCTATCCGTACGCCTCCTGATGCCATGGCAATGTAAAAACATTATTTATCTTTCCTATCATAAGCAAAACCTTCCTGCGCTTGCTTGCTTTAATGTACTTAAGAATTGTAGACGGCAACGAATATGTTTATTGTGCCAAAATCGTAAAAAAGCGGTCGCGGTGACTCATTATAAGCACTGTGGCTTTGCAATTACAAATGATAGAGAATAAAATCGAGATATTTTTTTTTCTTCCAGGAGACTCATGTAATTGAATCCCGTTAAAATCTTTTTAAAAATACATCCTATTTAAAACGCATATTGCGTTTTTTACAGATCAAAGAGATTTACGAGGGAAAACATTTGTATCCTGCGCATGTACATAACTGTCATTTAAAATTTAAGGCCAATAAAACGAACATATACGTTTCCTGTCATAGGTACGGCAGATGTTGGCAATGGATAGTTTATTGTTCCAATTCTTACAATTACATTTACTGGGAATTATTTTTTGTTTTTTTTTTAAATTAATTAATAAGAACAGTTGAGTAGGCATAATACGGTAAAATGTATACATGGAACCAATGGCCTTATTCGTCTTCTAAGCAGTAAAGGAATCATTATTAAAGGAAAAAATTAATTAATGAATTAATTAATAAATATGAAGGAACGAACGAACGAACAAACGAACGAACGAACGAACGGATAAATGAACGAACAAACTACTATATGACAACCAATGATATTTCTACGAACTGTCCCTTTTTCAAAACCTTATTATTCATTCAACAATTATTATAAAGTTAATAATACACTGTACTTCAAAGTAAATGACACATCATCGATTATCTCTCCCCTTATCATATATATGTGATTATTAACGATAGGCCGTAAAACACACTTGATATTTCTTTCTTTCTTACAATGCGGCAGCGTTGTCATTAATATCAGAACTAATGCATTCATATTAGCTTCGGTTTATTTTTAACTCGTTAAATATATCGCTGTAACATGGTAATGAGAGAATTATTGAAAAAGCCTACCGGGCTTATCAGTACAGGCTGCATTAAAATACTACGTCTTCGAGGTAAATAAACTCCCAGCAAATAGAGCCTGCGGCAGTATCCTACTGTGCGGAAAGTTGATATCCTTAGAAATATTAAGGCCTTCCCTATATGGCATGTGCGTATAATAAGCCACTCATAGGCTGGTTTTTGGCAAAAATTTACCAGATGTGGGGTTCACATACCAAAATGAAAAGAGGTTTTAGGAACTCGTGATTCTCTTTTTTTGTTACTTTTATGCTAGTGATTGTTTATGACTAGATGTGGTGTTAAACCGGGAATTTTGGCTTTAATAAATTAATTACAACGGACAAAACAAAGGAAACATATTATGCGGCTATTGAAACAAAGGAAGCGTGAACCGTGTAGATAAATTCTGGGTACATAGATGTTTAATGTTCACGTTATTGATAAAGTTTTAAAAGATATGAAACATGAATTAAGACGTTGATTATATTTTGATTATTAAAATTCGGAACAATGGCTCATCGACGCAAAAGTTCACATCCCGTGTGTAAGACCCGCCGGAATTTGGAGCTATCGGTTCAAGACGTCAATGACGACGACGACGATGTAAGTATTCGTCTTTGTATTATAAATTATATTTGTTCTATATTTATTTGTTCTTTCTGTCTTTCATTTCATCATTTCTTCATTTTCTTTTCTCATTTCTTCTTTATTAGTATCAAGAATCAGATATGTTTAACTGATAAAAGAGTTGTTTAACTCTGTATGAAATTGCATAATATGTTTAATGTCTTGTTGAACCTATTTGTTTCTTTGATTTTTAGACCAAAAGACATATTTTTCCCTTCTTTTCTGTCATAGGACTAATTGATTGGGTTTTTTTAAATATCAAACATGCATGTTAAGCGTTTTGACAGCGTTCACAAAAGCAATGTACATGTATTTTATCAATCTCTCAATCAATCTGTTTCAAGTTCTTTTTGTAATACCTAGGTCATGCAGGCCACTTTACGCGGTTTAACATATTACGTAAAAATGCATTTATTATAAACATAACATTTTAGATGCTATTTAACGCCTGTCACAGGCACAGATATTTGTTATTTCAACGTCTGTTCCCATGCACTTTAATTAGCTGTCATCGATGCAAATTGAATCTTGTACATGTATATTTAAGTGGTCAAGTTGTCAACATGATATCGTGTCCACATGCAGATGCGCGAAAGGAATGCTGTTATATAATAAGCTACCGTTTCCTGACAAAGTGTTAAGCTCCTCTGACCCGCAGATAGCGCTTAGATAAACACATGTACAACACATGTGCCGCTAATCATAGAAGCCATGCCTCCATCATAGACTGGCTTTAGAGTATGCGTTAAGTACTTTACTTTGAATTGTACACAGGCTTTCGGCACATTTGTCATGCCAATAATGGTCAAATTATCATAAAATAATCACCACTTGATCATCAAGAACAAAATAACTATTCATGATCAAGGAGTGATTATTATTCATTTATTGACATGGCAAATGTGCCAATCGCCTGTGGATTTGTATCGCATCTTTCAGCATTTTCAGTCATGAAATATTAATGTAAATCGAATGTAATAATCATTAAAAATACACAAAGTTGTATTAAATAAGCAAAATAAAAAATGTAATCGCTTTTAATGTCACATATAGCGGAGGAAATTTTAAATCAATTAAGAGAAATAAAACTACAATATTATTGTCCATGATCCTGTTGGTTTATACAGAATTTATTTTAGTTCGGTTGTGTTGGAAGTTATAAGCTTATATAGACACATGATCCTGTTGAAATGCATTGAGATTCTTTGCGCACTAGATAGAGGCTTTAATACTTTATATTTTAAATATTATCTATTTCATTAAAGGCCCATGATGCCTCAGAAAAGCTTTTTTATTTCTAGCATTTCTTGTAAGCTTTTCTTATTTTGATGTCTTAATACAGTTTGAACTTTCTATGAAGTTATTCATGGGCCAGACACCCGAACCATATGGCAATTAGTACAGCATTAGTTATTATTTTGTATGTAATTCATAATACTAATTTTGTATATTATTCAAAATACTATTTTGTTTACATTTTTCTACAATTATGACGAATAATTTCAGCGCTTCTTTGCTCTGGTGATAAACATTTAACATTCTCTAAATATCTGGAAAAAGGTGATCCCTCTGAAGCATTAAAATCAGCAAAATTATAAGAAAATATCAAACTCGTTTTTATCTAGTCTGTACATGAGGGAAAGTGGAAAAAATGCAACATCCTTCACGCCCCAAAGCTAGCACCGGCTTGAGCGGTAGCACATTTTTCAACACTTAAAAGGGCTGGAATCAATGATCCCGAACCCCATTTTTTATTTCTAAAGACGGTAAAAACTATTTGTTTCTAAAGAATAATGTGTCTTCAATCTCAATTGTTGACAAAACTTAGGAACCCGATCTCTGGGACGTAACACAATGGTAAACAATTGGGAAACGGACAAAAGCCCTCCCGGACAAAAGTTATCCCGTCCAAATACGACAAAGCGGACAAAAGGCCTCCCGTGAAAATAGCAAGGCGGACAAAAGCCTTCCCGTGAAAATAACAAGGCCCATGTAGATGACAGGGCGAACATAAACCTTCCCGTTTTCTGTTATAAACCATAAAAACAATGCTTAATTTAGAACTTTCATGATTTTTTAAAAAGTAATACTCAGGTTTCACCAGGTTTTTTTTCTTACTTGTGTCTTATGAGCTTTTAAGATTACTTTATGAAGATCTGTTGATACAAATCTTTTATCTTTCTGAAAAATCGAGTATGTAGATGATTTTTTTCTGAAATTTTTCTAGACATTTAGAATTTGATGAAAGCTGATCACTGGGTCATGTCAAGACGAATATCTTCTAATTTAAAGGCACATTATGCCTCAGAAATTCATATTTATTAAATTCTTTAGAAATGTCAAACATGTGTTAAATAATGTTTTAATAATGGATTTAGAGCGTGTTAGATGTTAAACAGCTGAAGAAAGTAACACTGAATGTGCAGGAATGTGTCGTAAAGGTAGCAAAATGTAAATAAAGTAGTATTTTGACTTCCATACAAAATACTAATTCACTATAATTATACCGACTGCCAACAAAGCAAAAGAAGCAAAGATAGTTCATCTATGTGGCAAATGACTATTTTTTGAAACTGTAACAAGATACTAAAATTTTAAAGTTTTTGTGAAATAAAAATGAGGTCCAAAAGTCCCATTAATGAACTTTTACAATCTTGTATAGATCAATTTGGGCACTAAAATATTAAAATATCCTAAAATTAAAAAATAAGAGGAATTATACTCAAAACTAAAATCATAATTTTTATGTGTTTTTGTGCGCGATATTTTGCCAGATTTGAGAGAAAGGCATTTAAACGATTTTCATTTTTGGGTCCTTTTGCTCAATCAAAATGTTTAGGAAATTTTGTACACAAATACAGATGTAATTGGTTCAGACATACACTGTTACAAATTTTTTGTAAAACTAATTTCCAGTCAGTCTAGTTCCTTATAGTTAATTGTATGCTAATTTGTGAAGTCATTTTTTAAAATCTAAAATGAGCAATAAAATAGTTTAAAATAATTGATTTTTATAGCATGACTGTCACAGCTATATTCAGAATAGTTTTATATTGTCTCTGAGAAAATTTAAAAGATATTTTTAAGGTTTTAACATGGCACGGATTAACTTAAAATAGCCTGGAATTATTTAAGATGGAAGAAAAAGAAAGGAAAAGAAGATAATTTCTATAATGACATGTAATAACTTTGTTTTGAGATTATATTCATTTTGAGATTATATTCAGGCATCCCAGAATGATTTGAAGCACCAGCCCCCCCCCCCCCCCCCCCCCCCCCACACACACACACACACCACCACCACACCACACAACCAAAAATAAATAACTAAATTTATAAAATAAATAGCATAAAGAATGATTCAATTTTGATTGTCATTATTAATAATACTTAATAATACTTGCCTCGAAATTAAAAAAAAACAACGCTAAGTGAAGATTGAAAGTTTAAATAGATTAAAGCTATTCTTACTTTAAGTAAATGTGACGAGAATTACTTGAGTGGCTGGATATAAAAGCCCCTGATTAACGAAAGTGGGCCCCTGATTAACAAAAGTGGAAAGGAACTCCTTTGGAAAAATTGAATTTCTAATTTACATTATCAGGGGCACTTAAAATGAAATTTTATGTAAAAAAAATATATTGAAATGAACTCAGAATTAAATTAAAAATCGTATTGTTACAAAACTTAGCCCATTTCCCATAGCTTTGAAAATGTTTAAACGCTTTTTATTTTTGGGTCATTCTTTTTACAGATAAAACAAAGGGGCAAGCAAATTTTGCACAGGCGTTCGGCATTATGTTATGATGATCAAGGAGGTGGGGGCGGGGTTATTTTATGATATTTTTACCATTAAAGGCATGGTAAATGTGCCGAACGCATGTGAAATTTTGTGTGAATAGTGAACTTTGATGCAAACGACAATGATGTGCTCAATGGTTTAAGACAGTTGCCACCAGCAGAACTACTTAAAAGAATGCGCCTTTTAAATGTTTTAAAAGATAGCTAGTTTGAACTGAAAAGAAAGCGCATTTTAAATGTTTTAAAAGATAGCTAGTTGCTACTTCAAAGAATGCGCCTTTTTGATATTATTAACCAGTCGCAACTTATTAAAGATAGCCAGTCGCTACATAAAAGTACATGTATGCGCCTTTTTAATGTTATTAAAGATAGCTAGTTGCTACTAAAAAGAATAAGACAGAAAATATTATTGACGTTAGCCGTTCAGTTTAAGTACTACATTTTACATATACACATATTCTTGTCAAGTGATCAAGTAAAGTTTAAAAAAAATAAATACATTTTTCCACTTAATGACTAAGCAAAATTCCCAGAAGCTTCAATTTACACGTAGATGGTCAGTTGAAAAGAATAAGTAAATTTTTAAGGTTTCTCACAAAAATTTTGATGTGCACAGACAAAGATTTTAATAAGAATGTAAAGAATATAATAAAATGCTTTAATGATACACAATCGTAACTTTTCGGCTGTTTCGTTATGTTTCGGTAAATAATCTCGAACACAAAAGGATATGAAGTACACTTCAGCAACTTACATGTGATAAATAAATATACCAGTAAATGAATGTATGAATAGATATATGAGTTGTAAGTGAACGAATAAGTGAGTGAGTGAGTGAGTGAGTGAGTGAGTGAGTGAGTGAGTGAGTGAGTGAGTGAGTGAGTGAGTGAGTGAGTGAGTGAGTGAGTGGAGTGAGTGAGTGAGTGAGTGAGTGAGTGAGTGAGTGAGTGAGTGAGTGAGTGAGTGAGTGAGTGAGTGAGTGAGTGAGTGAGTGAGTGAGTGAGTGAGTGAGTGAGTGAGTGAGTGAGTGAATGAGTGAGTGAATGAATGAATGAGTAGAACAAACAAACGAACTTATGAATGATGAATGAATGAATGAATAAATGAATGAATAAGTGAGTGAGTGAGTGAGTGAGTGAGTGAGTGAGTGAGTGAGTGAGTGAGTGAGTGAGTGAGTGAGTGAGTGAGTGAGTGAGTGAGTGAGTGAGTGAGTGAGTGAGTGAGTGAGTGAGTGAATTAATTAATTAATTTGATAATGTTACAGACCCTCAAATTCTGTTATAGATTATTGAATTATTATACATAATAAGGCACGTGACAACCAGGAAAATAACAGACATTATTATGCCACCAAGCCAGGTCAGCCTGAGAAGCGGATTGCACGACAAATGTTGTTTTAGTTGTTGTTGTTGTTGTTGTTGCTGCTGCTGCTGCTGTTGTTGTAATCGTCTGTTAGCATCATTATGAACGCTGCAGGTATCTGTTTCTGGAATCGATGCATTTTTGTTGTTGATGAAATAACAACACTATACAACAGTATATTGAAAATTACTGAGAAGGTCATTTCCAATATAAAACGTGGCATTTTCCTAAATAGGAAAAAAACAACAAAAAAACATCATTTAAATGGGAAAAAAATCACGTATAAATGGTAAAATAACAAATGGTAAAATAGCAAAAGGCAATTAATTCAATTAAAATGAAAAATAAACATGAAGGTTAATTCCGGTTTGAGAGTATCATAATAATCACGAAGTATTATCCTTATTGTCCTAGGATAATAACTTGAGCCTTTGTTTACATAACAAAGACCAATAACAATGCGAAAAATAGGTTAGGCAGATCAATGCCACAACCTATAAAAATGAAAATAAAACTGCATGTTATCATATGTCATGTTAGGGCAGTAGGTAGAGCAACCGTGTCAGTAATTAATATGTTTTACCCGTACAGGCAGAAGTTCGACTACTGGTACGACACATTTTTATGCCACCGCAGCATCTGCGATGCGGTGGCATATAGCGATTCACCTGTGTGTGTGTTTGTTTGTGTGTGTGTGTGTTATATAGATTATATAGTGAACTTCAAAAATCTTCTTGTGAAAAACCACTTGTCCAATTTCAACCAAACTTGGCAGGATTGATCCTTAGGTGAAGGGCTTCTAAAGTTGTTCAAAGAATTTCATTACATGCAGAAATCTGGTTGCCATGGCAACCAAAAGGAATTATAAGAATAAATTTAAAAAATCTTCTTGTAAAGACCCAAAAGGCCTAGAGCTTAGATATTTTGCATAAAGCATTATCTGGTAGACCTCTACCAAGATTGTTCAAATTATAGCCCTGGGGTCAAAATCGGCCCCACCCCGGGGTCATTGATTTTCACTATATGTACATATAGTAAAACTTAAAATACCTTCATGTAAAGACCCAAAAGGCTTAGAGCTTAGATATTTTGCATAAGGCATTGTCTGGTAGACCCTTACCAAGATTGTTCAAATGATAGCCCTGGGGTCAAAATTGGCCCCGCCCTGGGGGTCATTGATTTTCACTATATGTACATATAGTAAAAACTTAAAATACCTTCTTGTAAAGACCCAAAAGGCCTAGAGCTTAGATATTTTGCATTAGGCATTGTCTGGTAGACCTCTACCCAGATTGTTCAAATTATAGCCCTGGGGTGAAAATCGGCCCGCCCCGGGGGTCATTGGTTTTCCTTATATGTATATAGTAAGAACATAATTATAGTAAAAACTTTAAAAATAAAATTCTAGCAATTGAGACAAATGCTAGAGGTTAGATATTTTGCATGAAACATTGTGTAGTGAACCTCAAGCAAGATTGTTCAAATTATAGCCCTGGGGTCAAAATTGCCCCCGCCCCGGGGGTCATTGATTTTCAATATATACATATAGAAAAAATCTTATTGTCTGAAGGTACAAGACTTAGAGCTTTAATATTTGTTAAATGATATCATCTATAGGTACTCTTCCAAAGTTGTTCAAATTTTTCCCTTGGTGTCAAAATTGGCCCTGCCCGGGGGCAGTGATTCTCATTATGTACACATAGTAAAAACAGAAAATAAAACAAATGTTTTCTGAATGGGAGAAAGCTACAGCTTAGATATTTGACTTGAAATGTTGTTTGGTGGACCTGTATCAAGATTGTTTTGAATTAAACCCTTGGGTCAAAATTTTGCCTTGCCCAAGGGGAAGGTGACCTACTTTCTTGTCCTTTGATGTACAGCAATGAAATTTTGACCATGTGCACATTTAAAGTTGTAAAATTGAACTTTGATATCAGGTGACCTAGATTTTGATGATGTGACCTACTTTCTTGTCCTTTGATGTACAGCTATGAAATTTGAACCATGTACACAGATTAAGATGTAAAGTGAACTTTGATATCAGCTGACCTAGATTTTGACAAAGTGTCTTACTGTGTTGGCCTTTGATGTAGTCATGAAATTTAGGCTGTGTGAAATATGACATTCACCACCAAATTCACCAGACTCTAGTGCATTGATATATTCCTACTCTGATCTTTTATTGGATTAACAATAGATTTAACCACTAATCTGATAATAAGAATTAGATAGGTCAGGGATCTATGCATTATGACAATCTTCAATTGTATAGAAACAAAACAAATCTGTTCATACACTACTATTTAGTGTTGTATTAATGCGGAGGCATAGCATTTTTCTCAAATGCAATCTTGTTTTTTACCTCAGAACACTCAATTGTTCAGAAAACAAGTTTGACCGTTTTTTTTCATATACATACATGAATATGAGATCGAATATTTTATTACACTGCGATCAAAAAAAATACAAAAAGAAAAAAAGAATAGAAATGAAAATAAATAAATATATACTATAAAATATATATTATAAGAAGAAAACAAAAAGGAAAACGAAAAATAAATAAATAATTATAATGATAAAAAGAACAGAGCAAGAAGAAAAAACTGTGGTTATAAAATGGCACTACGTAGGGTTCGAACCTATGAGTACAAAACACTAAAGGTTACAATAATTTCGATCTACCGACAGAGCCATAACGGTAATACACAAACGATACTGTAAGAATAATGCTATATAGTATATGTAAGTGTTTACTTTTACGATATCGGATAATGATCCAGATAACCCCGTTTTTGGACTTTCCCATGTACCGTTAAGACCAAATTATCATCCTAGGACAGTACATTAATTTCGAGCCGTCCTTGTAATTAAAGTCCGTGGTTGTTACCCCACGTTCAAAAGTATATAATTGTGTCGCTTATTTATTATGCAGATGAAAAAAATAAAAACATAACATCATTGGTCTTTGTATTAGATAAGATTTGACTAATTTGATTATGATTATTATCAATAAATATTTATTTTATCATTATTATTATCATTATTATAATTATTATCATTATTATCATTATTATTATTATTATTATTATTATTATTATTTGCATAATGATGTTTATTTTCGTTCTAGAAGATTCAATATAACAATTACTCAAATAAGAAAGGATGATTTGTAAATAAGTAAATAAAAGTTAATTCTTCATTTTCTGCAGAGCTTATCAACCCAACGAAAGTGTAAATGGACAAAAAACACCCCCAAAGAAAGTAAATTGAGACGCAGATATTCCAGCGCGCTGCTTATAAGCCTTCCTAAGAAAATATCGTTTGCCCTACATATGACCTAGTGTATAAAAGATTCCGTGTAGCTGCCTAAACAAGTAAACCATCTGGGAATTATTTCAGTTACCTAGCAACGCGGTTTTAAGTAAAGTGTATACTTTTCTTGATAAAGCAAGACGTAAATGGTTCATGAGTAAAGAATTCGTCTGCGTGCACTTCTGAAACGCGCGCGTGTTTACCAGCTTAAATCAGGTTAAACAGTAAATGGAAGCTTTATAAGTGTGTGTATGTGATGGAGAAATCGTCGATTTTACCTGTAACAAAATATTACAATACAGTCAACGGAAGCAGACGAATATTTTAAGGCTGCAGACGAACATTTTCTTAAGGCTGGAAAAATAAATAAATTTGTTTCGCGTTGTCATAGAGCGAATTAAATAAAGACAAGTACATAATAGAAGAAAAAGAACAACAAAAACAACAACAACAGCTAATGTGTTTTTCATCAATTAAAGAATAGTTTTGCTTTAATATGCAATCTTAATCCAATTTTCACTCATTTAAAGAACTAAAAAGTACATAAAAATTATGCAAATATATCTTAACTAAAAAAAATCCAGTAAAACAGAAAAGGAAAAAAACAATGATCTGACAAGACAAAAAATAAATAAATAAAAGTAAAATAAATAAATAAATAAAAAATAAATAAGTGAGAATAAAAAGTGCAAAAAGTTGGCTCCAAGTAGGGCTTTGACCCACATCCCATGCAAACTCTTCAGAAAAATGATAACATTACCACTTTTTACGCTTAATGAGCCGTTAATAAATCTAGAATATTGCTGTTACTTCTTGCTAGGTATTCAAGTAAGATAAGATGTAACGATAAGACCGTGAAATAATTATAATGATAACAAAATACGGAGACATTATACATCAGGTTATTCCTAATGTTATGTAACATGGGAGACAACTGCATGTTGAAAGAACTTTACTCGAACTCAGTTTTGTCCCTTGACTCGATTTATTTTTCAGCAATTGTATCAATAGTAGCATAACATCATCATCATCATCACCATCATAATAATAATAATAATAATAATAATAATAATAATAATATTTATATAATAATAATAACAATTATAATAATAATAATAATAATAATAATAATAATAATAATAATTATCATCACCGTCATCATCATCTGACACTAGTATTATCGTTATTATAATTATCTTTAATTATGTTTCTATTTGCAGGATAGTGATGTCATCGATTCGACACAGCCACGTGACCATCTTGTCATCAATCACGGGAGCACTTCCGTTTCACTGGATACCGACGACGAGGATGGTCAGCAAATTGTTTTGCCGTCAGATCTGTTCAAAGATTTTGAGGCAATCAGAAATCAGGTGCGCTATAGGAATATTCTGTCTAATATTGAGGCAGAAAGACCCATTAGCTTGGAAGTGACCTCAAAATAACATTCTCAAAATATTTTTATTTTTGTCTCCTAAAAGTTATTCACGTACTGCCTACTGATTCTTTTGCATTTTGGAATTTAGATTTATTATTTAGTATGGAAGGCAAAATACCACTTTGTTTACATTTTGCTACTTTTAAGACAATTATGTTTACATTTAACGCTTCATTCTCCAAGTGATAATCATTAAACATGCTTTACAAGTGACAGTTGAGTCTAGTGTTTATGTACAGTCGTCTCTCAGTAACTCAAACTCGCTTACTTCGAAATTCCGCAGAAGTCGAATAATTGTTGAAGTACCGTCATGTCAAAATGCCCACTTTTTTCTCATTTACTTTTAACTGTCTGAGATACTAGTACATGTAAATAAAAAAGGCTGCTCCGGAGTGAAATTTGTCGTCACTAAAACCTTATTTTGTCTTTGTTATAGTCTATATCAAAGAAGTATTTTTTCCTTAACAACATTTTTTGCAAATTTAATCGCTTGATTAAAGTATTTCATGACAATTTCTTCTAGAATCGGCAAGACTTTGAGAAACAAAATAACCCAATAATGTGCATGTATATGAGATAAGAACTAAATGATTTAATTACTACGGATCTTAAGTTAGTTAATTCAATCAGTCATATTGCAATTCTTTTATTTTATTTTATCAGACAAAGCTGGATGCCACGAATTTGATGCGACGCCTGCTGAAGGATTATCAAAGGTAAATATATTATTAAATTACATATAAACTAAGAGATATATCTGCATTAGATATTTCTAGGGGTTGGTAATTGATAATCTACAAATTCGGAAAACCCTTCTTGAATCATAGAAATAAATGTGTAATGGTGGGTGTATTTCTGTCAATTTAAGAACATAATGGTGGGTGTATTTCTCTCGGTTTAAGAACATAATGGTGGGCGTATTTCTCTCATTTTAAGAACATAATGGTGGGCGTATTTCTCTAATTTTAAGAACATAATGGTGGGTGTATTTCTATCAGTTTAAGAACATAATGGTTGGCGTATTTCTCTCGGTTTAAGAACATAATGGTGGGCGTATTTCTCTCGGTTTAAGAACATAATGGTGGGTGTATTTCTCTCAGTTTAAGAACATAATGGTGGGTGTATTTCTCTCAGTTTAAGAACATAATGGTGGGCGTATTTCTCTCAGTTTAAGAACATAATGGTGGGTGTATTTCTCTCAGTTTAAGAACATAATGGTGGGTGTATTTCTGTCAGTTTAAGAACATCATTGTAGTCGTATTTCTCTCAGTTTAAGAGAATAAAGGTTGGCGTATTTCTGCCAGTTTAAGAACATAATGGTTGGCGTATTTCTGTCAGTTTAAGAACATAATTGTAGGTGTATTTCTCTCTCAGTTTAAGAACATAATGGTGGGCGTATTTCTCTCATTTTAAGAACATAATGGTGGGCGTATTTCTCTCTCAGTTTAAGAACATAATGGTTGGTGTATTTCTCTCAGTTTAAGAACATAATTGTAGGCGTATTTCTCTCGGTTTAAGAACATAATGGTGGGCGTACTTCTCTCGGTTTAAGAACATAATGTTGGGTGTATTTCTATCAGTTTAAGAACATAATGGTGGGCGTATTTCTCTCGGTTTAAGAACATAATGGTGGGCGTATTTCTCTCGGTTTAAGAACATAATGGTGGGTGTATTTCTATCAGTTTAAGAACATAATGGTGGGCGTATTTCTCTCGGTTTAAGAACATAATGGTGGGCGTCTTTCTCTCGGTTTAAGAACATAATGGTGGGTGTATTTCTCTCGGTTTAAGAACATAATGGTGGGCGTATTTCTCTCGGTTTAAGAACATAATGGTGGGTGTATTTCTCTCGGTTTAAGAACATAATGAATGGCGTATTTCTCTCGGTTTAAGAACATAATGATGGGCGTATTTTCTCACAGTTTAAGAACATAATGGTGGGCGTATTTCTCACAGTTTAAGAACATAATGGTAGGTGTATTTCTCACAGTTTAAGAACATGATGATGGTCGTATTTCTCTCAGTTTAAGAACATAATTGTAGGCGTATTTCTCACAGTTTAAGAACATAATGGTGGACGTATTTCTCTCAGTTTAAGAACATAATGGTGGGCGTATTTTCTCAGTTTAAAAACATAATGGTGGGCGTATTTGTCCCAGTTTAAGAACATAATGGTGGGCGTATTTCTCTCGGTTTAAGAACATAATGGTGGGTGTATTTCTATCAGTTTAAGAACATAATGGTGGGCGTATTTCTCTCGGTTTAAGAACATAATGGTGGGCGTATTTCTCTCGGTTTAAGAACATAATGGTGGGCGTATTTCTGTCAGTTTAAGAACATATTGGTGGGTGTATTTCTGTCAGTTCAAGAACATATTTGTTGGCGCATTTCTTTTAGTTTATGAACATATTGGTGGATGTACTTCTGTTATATTAAGAACATATTGGTGCGTGTATTTCTGTCAGTTTAACATATAACACACAATATTACACTATTTACAGCACCACAAGCTTTCATTTATAAAACCGGTTTTTTGTAGGTTTTTTCTTTCTTATTTTCCTGATAATATCTTATTACCGACTTTTCCATAGACAGATATGTACACGTTGTCACAATGAGTGGTACAAATTGTGCTATTTCCTATCTTTAAAGCAGTATTTCGTATGGAAATAGGAAGTTTTGTAACAATTGCGTCTAGAAAAAGATAATGGGATGGGGGTAGATACGGCAAGTGTGTATTAATATATTATATTAAATGATCGTACGTGCTTTTTGTTACTGAACTGTTGAAAAGAAGGGACATAAACAATGTATATGATTCAAAAAATTAATTTTCCTTTAAGAAATGGTTTTGTACATTCATTTCATGCAAACTAATTCCAGCAATATTTCTTGTGCTTTTTGATCGTTAAAATCCTCTGGTTGTTTTAGTTATTCGTATATAATGAGCTTAATGGAATACTAAAAAACGATTGTGTAGTAAATTCAGTATACTATTTACAATAAAAGTAACCAGGCATATTCTTAGACTTTGTTTAGAACATAACTGTCTGAAAATCGGTGATAAAGCAAATCAACGATTTAAGGATAAAGGGAGCTAATCGGGTTTTAAAGTACTTTCCTATCTTTTTAGACTAACGTAAAATGCACTTTGTTTTTCAGTATATCAACTGTCGGTGGTGATAAACAAAGTGACGATAATACTGATAGTGATATCCATGGCAGCCAAACTATTCAAGCTACAACTTCCATTGCTAAAGACGTTTCCTTGGCAACCACGCGTATTGATACAGATGACGATCAATATCAGGGTCTAGATCTTTCAGTCGGCACGAGGAAAATAAGTTCTCAATTATTTGACACTAAATCGTTGAATAGTGAACATTTTGAACAACCCTTAGACCTTACCTGCACCAAAACGCCTACCACAAAAGACTCTTTAAATCGCGAAAGTCCATCCTCCTCGCAGTTAGACATTTCAAGTGTAAACAACGAATTTAATTATGTTTATGTGTATCCCGGCTTATATCCGCCCTCGTCGGGTGTTTTGTCAAATGATGAAATGGATACTGACGGTCAAAATCAGAACGTCTCCCCTGTGCCGGAACTACTTTCACCCGGAAAACTTGTATCACCTGACTCAATGTCAAGAGCACAGTTTGTCAGCACGTCTGATATACCGGAAACGATTTACGCAGGCGCACAAAGTCGTTACAGGGATTACTCGACGCCTGTTCAGCGACAGACCTCTCCGGCTTCACCTCTTCCAAAGTTATCGCCTCATAATATAAAACAAGAACCGGGAGAACTTAGTTTTAGAATGTCTGACGGTCAAAATAATAACTTCCGGTCCAGTCAGCCACCTGGTTCCACGCCTACCACGAGTAAAGCTGGTCGGAAAGAGGGTAAAAAGTCTTCTGAGATGAAAGTGATTTCGGAAAACATTACAGACGACGTTTACACAAGCGTTTTGAAATTACCATGGAGTCGCAGAACAAGGACTAAAAAACCAAAACACAAGGTCAAACTAGAGGATACCCTTATACCTCAGTTTATGTTGGAGCAAGAAAAAAGCGGAAATGAATTTTCAGACTGGAACCCATCACAAGTGTCTCCAAGCAGCAATAGTTCTGAGCATAATGCACCCATTTCTAAAACACCAGAGTGTTCAGAATCCGTTATGATGGTATATCCGAGCGGAGGAACGTCAGCATACGGAAAGCCGGTCAGAAAACGAGGACGCCCACCTAAGTTGCCCATGTTGGCAAAATTACTACAGAATCAACAGGCAGGAAAGAAAAGTAAACAAATGAAGCAGTCAGAGGACATGCAAGCGCAGATAACTCAACAGGTACAAGCGAATGGTGGAATGGTTGTTTACAACGCAGGCGGTCAAATAATGACGGCTTTTGGAGGTGGTGGAATACCAGTGCAAGTGTCACAAGCGTCCGTCTGCACAGACGAACAGCAATTATCAACTCCAGTTATGCCGAATATGGCACAGGCTCAATTTATTGGTCAGATACCTTTGTCGCAAATTACAGGCGGTCCGATTCAGTTCCTCGGACAATTTCCTGCTCAAGCACTTCCGTTTCCGGGCCAGCTTCTACAGACTGTTCCGACTGCTACCTCAGATGGTCAAATTCAACTTCAGCCTCAATCTCAAATTCAGCCTCTTCCAGCAGCAGACGACCAAATTCGAAACATATCAACAGATGGTGCAAAAGAAGGTGATACGCTAAGTTCTGTAAAATGTGATACAGTTCCTCAGGTCAATTATCAGTATGCTTTCCAGCCAATGTTTATCCCGGCAGGTGCTCTTCCAGTTCCTGTTCCGCCACCTGTTACTCCAATTCCAACACCCGCTAATGACGTCCCGCATGACGGCAAAGAAGACACTCCACAAAAATCCGATTCGAATACTACAAGCGATACAGCTTCTGTAGTCAAAATGAATCAAGGTGTTTCAACACATGTTATGAAACTGGAGGGCTCGAATACAATAAGTACGATGAGCACAACAAGTATTTCCAACACTGGGTCCGGAGCAATTTACCAGGAAATGATTCTATCCTCAAAATCGTTGGTTGACGTCAAGAAAGGGCGGAGACAGACCGCAATTCAAATGCTCAAATCTAAATCCGGAGATCAGAACTTCCTTTGCACTTCCTTCAGAATACGTCCTCGACTTGTTGCGCAGGCACAAGCGCAAAAAGAAAGACAAGCGGCCAAAGGATTTAAGGAAGAATATTTAGACGACGAAATGGAATTCTCGGATTCAAAAAACTTGATACGTCCCCAAAATGATACAGTTCATTTTGGGGAAACCAATGGAAGTGATCCATGTGATGTTGACTTTGCTAATATTCAGATAAAACAGGAAATAGATACTGATGATGACCTGTATGAGAAGGTCAAAGAGATTGAGAACAAATACGCTGAACCCGAGCAGAAAGCAGCAAATGAAGATTGCAGTGAAAAGACCGAAAAACCAGCCATGAAACGATATATGTTGAAAGGTTCTCAGAAGAGAAAAGCGAAGTTTTACGGAAGTAGAATAGTTAATGATGCTGGTGACATTGCGGCAATGAACGGAGTTGAACAAATAACAAATATGAATAAATCAAGTGATGCAGATTCTAGTGATATGTTCCAGGAGCTGTTCAATTGTAAAGTATGTAACAAGATTATATCAGTGAATGACATGGAGGCACATAGCCTTGAACATATGAACAAAAACTTCCAATGCCAAAAATGCGGCCAAGGTTACAATGAAAGTCAACTGAGCGCGGACGACGCCCCAAAATGTCCAAATTGCAACGAAGATATTATCAAAATTGAGACATTGGAGTTACGCGATGCAACGTTTGCTTGCGACGAATGTCCCGAAACTTTCAAATCATTACCGGAGTTTTACGAGCACAAGAGCGAACATCAAAATAAACAAAACGCTCAGGGTGGGTTTGAATGTGACTTCTGCGGGAAAGTATATCAGTATTATCATGCTCTGCAATTCCACAGGCGGACCCACAGAGAACGTAAAGTTCCGTGTTTAGATAAATCATGTGAAATGAAATTTCGGAGCAGGAAAGAAATGGAACTTCATTTTGATACAAAACATCCCGAAAAGAAGGAGTATTTTCACTGCGTGTATGAAGGGTGTACAAAGAAATTTCTAAAGAACTTTCATTTGCAAGAACATATAAGGGTAAAGCATTACAACATTAAGGCGTTCCAATGTCCTTGGCCAGGTTGTCTGAAGGAGTTTGCAGCCCAGAGACATTTAAAAATCCATCTTTTGATTCACCGTGATGAGAAACCAATGAAATGCGACCATTGTGACTATAGATGTCGCCAGCGTAGCGCTATGAATTGGCACATGCGCAAACACCCGGATGTTCCCTACAAATACAAAAGAGCGACTAAATCTCCAAGCGTCTCCAAATCGGAGAGCGAATAAAGACAAGTAAAGGGAGATAATACGAATTTAGTCAAGGGAATGCAAAAGATGGATTTTTAAATGTCTCTAGGTTGCAAGACTCCTTAAATCTATGGAGGGAAATGTACACTGACAATTATCACTCGCTTGTTTCTCACAAATCGGTGGTTAGAAATATAAAGAATCGTAGAATGCATTTGTATTTTAATTCGTGTAAAAGTTATACATTACGACATGATTTATGCAATTACTAAAAGATACGTTAGTGATAAAGGCTGAATATTCGAGATACATTCAAGTTAGATTTATGCAATAACAAAAAGATACAATACGACTCATTATTTAAGATACGTACCAGTAATATTTTATTCAGTATTTGAGATACATGCCAAATATGTTTTATGCAATAACATGTTAATAAAGATGCATGCTATTTAAATAAAGCTTACTTAAGAATCATGCATTTTTATATATTTTTCAATAAAGCTTTGTACCAGGGAATGCGCCAGTAACTTGAGTAAGGAAGAAACAAGGAATTGAACAATGGCGAAACACAAAAGTCCCGCAAGTTAAAGATACAGTAGTACCAAAAGTCCAAATTACATATATCGGTGCAGCAACACTAAATTAGCCAACAAACACTTCCAATACAATTCAATATTGGCGATACACTATTCTCCCAGGCAGTAAATTTGATGAACATTGTAATCTTGGGAACCACTATTAATTGATTGCGCTATATAACTTATTCTAAAACACTAGTTTCAAACATAACAAAATTGAGCCGTGTCACGACAAAACCAACATAGCGCGTTTTCGACCAGCATAGATCCAGACCAGCCTGCGCATCCGCGCAGTCTGATCAGGATCCATGCTGTTCGCTTGCAAACCCTATAACAAGTAGAGAAACTGATAGCGAACAGCATGGATCCTGATCAGACTGCGCGGATGCGAAGGCTGGTCTGGATCCATGCTGGTCGCAAACGCATTATGTTGGTTTTGTCATGGCGCGGCTCAAATAAAGTATATATATATGCCCTATTCAAATTTCATAGATGATTTTCGTATGACATGTATTACATCCTTCGCGAGCAATTTCCTACATGTGTGCTTCAGATTGCATGAAAAATCTCCAACGATGAATTTATCATCTTTATGCAAGCTTTTTCCCAATTATTGATTATGAATAATGCTCCTAAAAATGACTCCCGTTTTTGTCAACAGAGTTAATAGTTAAAAATTTGTCAATAGTTAAAAAATAGGGAATAATATAAAACCATTGTGCAATAATCTTCATATATCTTTTGTCAAAGTATTGAAAAATGACACCAAAAGGACACAGATTTTAAAGAAACATTAATTAACAAGGCTGTTTGTTTATATATTATAATATACAAGATATACTGTTCGGTGCAGAGTTACCCTAGAAATAATACCAACCCTTTGCTTCCATAGACTAAGATTTGATAATTGACCAATAAGTCAAATGCTAACAACATTCATTTACACAAAATGTATCAGGTACAAAGTTAGGATAAGGAAATGACAATAATGAATATTTTCATCACACCAACCTAAGAGGGTTTTCCCCAAATAGTACAAAACTTAATAATAAGCGTTTATAAATTTTGCCCAAGAGGATGTCCGACCATGACCGCCAACCGAAAAGGCGACCGCAGAAAAGATGTGTTTAAAGGGACGCAACTCAATATTAATTTTAAGTTGATTTTCAGAGTTAAGTACCATGTATAACCACAGACGTTGCTGTCTGAAAGAAATGCTACTTTGTGATTTTCTTTGATTTACAATCCTAAGATTTTAAAGACCTATTCTTTCCCACACAATGCAAACAAAACTCAAATATATAAATCAAGAAAGAGTTAAACAATTTGTCTGCAAATGATTGTACCAAAATAATGTTTAAAGGCGCATTAGGCTTCAGAAACAAATACACTTTTCACTCTTTAAAAATGCAAAAATGAGTTTTATAACATTTATGTAATGGTTTTAGAGTATGTTAGACGCTTATCACATGAAGAAAGAAGCGCTTAATATGACATAAAAGTAGCAAAAAAATAACCCAACATTTTTTGGGCTTATGGACTTTACGCTATCTTTATAGAACGCAAATGGAATCGCGACAAAATATATGTAGATTCTACGGCCATGAAATACCTTTAACGGAGTCGCAAAATCGGTACAGGCATGTGATATAGAGAATACATGGTTGATGTCGGGTAGCCTAATTAATTTGGCGTGAACGGTTTGACCCGTTTTACAGACTTTTTTTTATTACTGTCAAACCGTTAAAAGAAAAAGACAGCGCCCGTCCAAAATTATCTCGGTGTCTCTTTGACAAGTCTAATTAGTTGGACTAGATGTCGGGAATCTCGGGATGGAGAAGGTTTATCCGGTGAGCAAGAAAGTGTATCTTGGCCAAGATTCACTTTCGCAGCGAACCGGATAAACCTTCTCCATCCCGACATCAACCATGTATTTGATTTATCCTGCTTTTAATCATGTTTTTAGATTAATTAAATGGTTTAACTCTTCTTTTCCCCGGTAAAATAGCATCTATATGTAGTTTTGTTTTGCTGCTAACCATGTGACGTCATCATATGACGTAATGACTGGAGATAGATAAGTTTATCAGGCTGATGAAATAGACAGTAGCTGGATAAAAATGATTTAATTGAACGACGTCACGTCTAATCTTTAAATTATACAAAGAATTTACCTAGTAAATTCACATTTAAAAACTTGAAAGCAGATTGTTCAGTGGCGGCTATGAAAGCCCTCTGTCACCAATATGAATATAGATAAATATAGAATCCCTAAAGAAAGCCCAACACAACACGGCAAAATTGAAAATGTTGCAGGCTCGGTTTGATTGAGCCTGTTCATGGACGGTATTGGAAAGTGCAAATTAGCATTTTAGCAAGTCAGCATGCATGACCCTGTAGTTATACCAAAATCTTAACAACGTTGAGTGCTCTTCTCTGTGACTCAGTTTGACACTTAAATGTTCCGTCAAGACTATTGCCCAAACTGCCATTGTTCCGACTACTCCGTAAAGAAAATAGTCCGTCAATATGGCGCATCCCAAATAATCGCAACTTTTCGGGTCTTTCCGTTTGTCTCCGGATAAGGTTATTATTGATTATAGCCGAGATGTTCCGATTGGCATCCCACATAGTGCTTCGACTGTAGCCAAACAGTAGTTAGCGCCACTGATCAGGACAGTAACGTAGCGTGGCGTCATCAACGTCAGAAGTGTGTCATTTACCTTAAACTCGATTGTTATTTGTCACAAATGTGAGAGAGTACAGTTTTGTGTAGACAAAGTAAAAAAAAATGCAGTAAATGTCAATTGATTTTTTAAAAATATTTAAATTAATATTAATGCACATTTTAATTGATGACTTCAATTTGAAATGTTATAAATCAGTCCAATTATAAAAGATAAAGCAAAGCTCGACCGCTTTGATATTCAATTACCTACTGCGGATTGATATTTACTGCATGATACTTTCAATATTGTTGTCTCATTAAAATTTTGATAAACGCGACCGTTGTTGTTTTAGAATTTTAATCTTTCCTTAATTGAAATTAATATTAAGATGACGATAAAACATTTGTCAAGTTAATCATACGAGGTTTTTTAATGCAAGCCACCTGTTTGGTTTGCATATCATACAGGCAAAATGCTGATTTAAATGCGACACGCATGACAAATTGAAAAAGGAAAGAAAAGAAAAAACGGGACAGAAAGTAAGTCAATATTTAGAAAACAGTATATACCTTCAAACAATCGCAAATTTTCGGCCCTTTCCGTTAAAGTTCGGAAAACAACGATAATCAGCGGTGTTTTCAGAGTGTCTCTCATATTAATAAAGACAAGAAAAGCATTGATGCAAAGCATCAAAGGACGTCCATGCAAGAAATGCAGCAAGTGAAGATGAACTTGTAGACATCTGATGACCAGATATTCTTATAAACTTTTCAATGGTTAATTGGTTTTTACCAGCATTGTATAATATTTATGAATTGGCGAACAAAAGCAATGTTCATCATGAACTTTGGTAGGCATGCTAGAGATTAGAATTTTTTTCCACAGGAACTTGAAATTCTATCAATATTAACGATAATTTCCAAAATATACAGGTCTTTAATATCCAAAATGCAATTACATGTAGTTGTTTGAATATGTTTCATTTTTCATATTTCATTTCCTGCAAAATTCTCCAGTTCGTTATTTATAACCATAGCGCGACATGAATGACCGTTTCGTTCAACTTAAACTTCATATATAAATAGATTTTCGGCCTTTCACAATGTTAAGGTCATCATTCTATTTATAGGTACAGCAATACACAATAACCCACTGTATGTACTACAAAATGATTAATAAAAAACCGAAGAGCGCGATTATTTGACGGATAAGATAATTTCATTTGAATATGTTTGCATTGCGAAATTCTCCAGTTTGCTATTCATTGTTCGCGACATTTCATTTTTGATAATCAAACACCCTCATACCAATCGGTATGATCGGCTAATATGACCGACGAAAAGGCCCGAGAAGTTGCTGACGCCCTTTAACAAAATCTTATTTCATTCCTTAAGGGGCGTCGCTGAAGATAATCAACCTATTATATCCCAAGTCTAAGGGATATTTTTGATCAATGTCACAGTTTCTTCGAAATTGCTCTAAGTAGATTATGACAAATACAATTCAGTCTGACAGCATGAACAATGACCTTATACAGATTAAAGTTATTCAAAAAATATTTCCTTCAAGTTGCCTACATAAATGATACTTTTCACCTTGTATAACCTTTCTTTAAAGCAAGACTGTTTTTGACATGTTTTGTGTGTATTGTTTTTTAATTTGTTTTAAACGATGACAAATTATTGGGCAAATAAATCATTCAACTAAATGACCTTTTAACATAAAAAGAGTGATGGACGCTTTAAAAGCTCTATCCAAATATACGATTGATCACTGCGCGTGCATGACTTAGTGACGTAGTTAATTAAGTCATTATTGTTTATATAATTCACGTTTGATAGTTATTTTAAAGGCCAATTACGTTTCAGGAAGCTGTTTTTATTTATTTTGTAACAAGTTTCACAAAATGTACTTATTGCCGTCATTGACCATACAGATTTGTTAAAATTGTTACTTTTTGGTTTCGACAATTAAATAAACTTAAGTGATTTTGTATGGAAGTTAAAATGTCACTTTGTTCACATTTTGCTACCTTTATAACAAATATATTACGCATTCATCACTATTTTGTTCAGGGTATAAACATTTCATATGTTCTTAATCCATTATCACAATATCGTAAAACATGTGTGATAAGAAAAATATTCACATCTGAGGCTTTATGTGCCTTTAAAATATTGTATGTTTTAATCAGTTCAATGAAAACACGCGCTTTTCTTTAGCTTTC